TTTCAACCCGGTAAATATATTGCATGCTTTTACGATGAAGGATGGTACGTAGGGCTTGTGGTTGATATTTGTAATGAAAACCAAGACGTTAATGTGAAGTTTATGCAAAGAAACAAATTGAATTTAAAGTTGACAAACGATGCACGATCAAGTCAGTGTTAGGTTCCATTTGACAAGATAATATGTCAAATAAGTGTTCCATTGTTTAAAAGTATAAGTGCTCGTGACTATATTCTTGCTATTAATGACTATGACAGTATTATGAGTTACATAAATCAGAGATAAGCTAATTAGTTTAATGTAAACATACTTTTTTCTTTTAACTGACTATCTTACTCTTTGAATGCACTTTTTTATAGTATAGTTTGTGCAAAATTTAAGGTAAAAATTTTGTATATAGTAAGTGGTATTTTTTTGTTATCCTTTTAAAAATATCATCACTCTCAAAAGGCTACAATCATGTCATAAGATAGAGTATAGGTCTTTAAATTTTTTTGGTGATTGTCTATATATAGAACCTCAACATTAGCAAGTTTCATAACTTATTTCAACTGTTTACGCTACTTTCTATGCCAGCAAAGTCGATGTAATTTATCATAATTTAAAAAAAAGGGATTTTTTAATAGGCTGCTGCATGTGCTAAATTAATTTTTAATGCATAATTTTGATTATTCTAACAAGTGGTAACCCTAAGTACAAAAAGTTAACAAAAAAATCCACTTTCTGTAAGTAAGTATGAAACTATAACACGTTAAAGTTTGAAAAAATATTTATAATGTTGCAATATTTAGCAACTTTAAGGTACAATAACTCAAAAACTCTAAAAAAATCAGTCAAAAACAACTGCAATAATGGATTATTTGGGTGAAAAACTATTACCCTGCAAAATTTCAGGTGATCACTATCTTTATTTTAAAAGTTATGGTTTGTCAAAAATCGAAAAAAACTACTGTAAGCTCCTGATACACAAATTTTTTGGATTTTGGTAATTTTTATCTTTATTGCAATTTTACAACTAGATTAGCAAATGATATATTTATTATAATTTACTAAAAAAAACTAGGATGTTTTATTTAGATAATCAGATGGTAATTCTTTTATGGTGGCAAGTATTAGTCTTTTGAAATTGTGTAGTATAAAACAACTCTAACCCAATCAAGTCCTTTGATATATACCACAACTGAAGTTCAAGTCGTCGCAAAAACATTAAACTAATGAAATAACAATCATTAGGGTGGAGTGAAAAAATCTTTTTTTGGAAATTCATTTGAGCTGGGTATGGAAAAGTTGCCTTTGGGTACAAAATGAACTGTGGTAAAAGCATTTTGCTCTAGATTAATATTTAGGTCTGCCCCAAAGCACTTGAAAATTTGAATATTTCATTAATTTCGGCATTTTTGGCTTAAAAAATAATAATTTCCTATCATTGCAAATTCAAGTTGGCTGGGTATGCAAAAGTTGTCATTTAGTACAAGGTAAACTGTGGTAAAAGCATTTTGCCCTAGGTTAATTCTTAGGTCTGCCCCAAAGCACTCGAAAATTGGCGTTTTTCATGCATTTTGTGGTTTTCAGAGAAAAAGTTAATAATTTCCTATAATTACAAATTTCAGTATTTACATTATTTTGTTTGAATTATTATGTTAGAAATTAATTATTTTATTTTTATATTATTATTTTAGATTAGAAAATTATTTTAGATTAGAAAATTCAAACAACCTCGCATCTGTGAGTGACGTCCGAACAAAAATAACAAGAATGGCTGGTGTTAGTGGGTATAAGAAGCACAAGACACGGCTGCGTACCAATGCCCAATTTTTGGAAATCCTTCATATTTACCAGAGGCCGTTCTTCCCACAAATGCTGATGTGATGAAATATTACTTGTTCCTTAAAGACAAAATGACATATAGATCTGCAGAGATCCCTTCAGTTGCTGAAGTTTCAAGTTGTGTTTCATTGAAAGTTGAAGCATTGTGGCACAAAGCATCGATTCCAACTATAACACACAAGCGGATTGTAGCGAAGATAAAAGAACTTCATGACAAACATCGAAATATGCTCAAACCCTTAAAGAAACGAAAGAATGATCCTAACTATCAAGCAAAGATGCAAAAGTTTTGTATAGAAGCTAATTCCCAGTTGTTTGACATTGCAGTCTGCAAATGCTTGGACATAAATCACTGCAATTGTGAGAAAAGTTTTAAGGTACCAGTTGCAGAAAGACCATTTTTGGAAGATCAAAGAAGTACAAGAAATATGATGATTGGAAGTATAGATAAAGTTGTTACAAATCGATTGAAAGAACGCGATAATCGCAAAAGAAAACTTTCCAATATTTACAAAACTCCAACAACAGCCACTACATCTAACTCCCTATTGTCTTCAAATATTGTTGAATTCAGTTCGTCTTCTGATACTGAAACTGACAACGATACTGATGTCCATTTTCCCTCAATACATAAGGTTCCAACTACTGGAATAGCAGAGAAAAAACAGATGAGAGCAAACATTCCAAATATCTCAAAGGAATGTGATCGCCATAGCATTTCAGATCGTGCTGCTGCAGCCATTGCTAGTGCCGTGTTGCAAGACGTTGGTATCGTGAATGACTGTGACAGTACAATGGTTATTGATAGAAGTAAAATTCGAAGAAAGACAGAAGGTTAGAAATGAACTTCAATCCCACCTTGCCTCTAATCTAACAGGTTTGTACTTCGATGGTAGGAAGGACAAAACAAAAATGCAACTCAAGAAAGGTTCCAAGTATTATTGCAAAATAGTTACAGAAGAACATGTTACACTAACTCAAGAGTCCCATTCAATATATGTCGTTCACATAAGCCCTGAAAATGGAACATCAGTTAAGATAGCATATGGCATAGTAGATTTCTGTGATTCGAATGGAATTTCACTAGACAATTTAGTAGCTGTCGGTTGTGATGGCACGAATGTCAACACTGGTGTGTTGGGAGGTGTCATCCGTTTACTTGAGATGAAACTCGATAGGCCTTTGCATTGGTTCATTGGCATGCTTCATGCAAATGAGCTCCCTTTTAGACATCTTTTGTGCAAGTTAGATGGCACCACAAGTGGACCAAAAGCTTTCTCAGGTCCAATTGGTAAATTACTTCCAATCTGTGAAACTTTTCCTGTAAAGCATTTTTCAACTATAGAGATGAATAGTTTTCCAGATGTAAATTTTAAAGATTTAAGCACAGATCAAATGTATTTATATAAAATGTGCCACGCAGTGAATAATGGTGAATGCCCAATAAATCTGGCAAATAAGACTCCAGGTCCTGTAGTTCACTCGCGCTGGCTGACAACAGCTAGCAGAGTTCTGCGGTTATATGTTTTGATGGAAGATCCAACTGAAAATCTAGTGACTCTTGCAACATTTGTTGTTAAAGTTTACGCTCCTACTTGGTTTTATATCAAGACGAAATCATCTTGTACTCAAGGGGCACTCCATCTATGGAGAATGATAAACTTTTCAAGGTACCTTAAAAATGACTTAAGATGTATTGTGGATGAGGTAATTCAGAGAAAGGCTTATTTTAGTCATTACGAAAACATCCTACTTGCAATGTTGACTGATGAGCGCGAACACATAAGGAAACTGGCATTCAGAAGAATCCTTGGTGCAAGGGAAAAAAACAGTCAGTCACTTAGACGCTTTCGTGTGCCGAAACTTAATTTCGAAGCAGATGACTACACTAATCTAATCGACTGGAGTGTTGTCCAGAAAAGCGAGCCCCCTGCTACAAAGAACATCTCAACTCATGAAATAAAGTCATTTGTAAATGGTGTTTCATTGACTGAACCAGTTTTAAACATTCCAGAGTTTCCATGTCACACTCAGTCAACTGAAAGACACGTTAAGCTTGTTACTGAAGCATCAGCTACTGTTTGCGGTTTTGATCGCAGAGATGGAATGATTCGTGCCACACTGGAATCGAGATCAAAGACAAAAACTTTCAACACTAAGTCTCAGTTTCAATTATAAAGATTTAAAGAACTGTGAAGTTCTTGGATATATTATACATTTGTAATGTTATTTAATATGCCTATAAACAATCTGAAATATGTACGAAATTGGTTTTGTATGGATTTAAATTAAAGTACTCAATTTTCAAGTGGCTTGGGGCAGACCTAAAAATTAACCTAGGGCAAAATACTTTTACCACAGTTTACCTTGAACTAAAAGGCAACTTTTGCATACCCAGCCAACATGAATTTGCAATGATAGGTAATTATTATTTTTTAAACCAAAAATTGCGAAATTAACAAAAAACTCAAATTTTCAAGTGCCTTGGGGCAGACCTAAATATTAATCTAGGGCAAAATGCTTTTACCACAGTTCATTTTGTACCCAAAGGCAACTTTTCCATACCCAGCTCAAATGAATTTCTAAAAAAAGGTTTTTTCACTCCACCCTAATAATCATGTGACTAATAACAAAGGATTTTACTGCATGTCACTTTATCTTTGTGACCAGAGGGCTGAAAGATTAAGTGCATGCAGTGAAATCTGATCATGCAGTAAAATTAATCTGCTCCTACATCTATACGCAAAATAATATAATATAATAACTATAACATTTAACTAGAACAGTACTAATAACAGGTTTTTAGTAAATTTAAAATTTATGTAAGAAAATGGAACATAATATGTGAAAAAGAAAAATAGGTTTATGCCATGTAATATTTATGTAAATGATTTATGTTTGCACTATTTTATAAAAAACAGCTGATAGCTTTAAAATTAAAATAGTATTACAGGTTTTTCTATTTGTTTTGTTGTTTTTTAGAATTTTTTATAGAAATAGATTTTGTTTTAAGATGAAATAAAATTTTGAGGTTTACAATTATATTATTATATAATTAAAAATATATTTTTTCATATGCATCGACCATCATATTTATATGCTCTTGGTGCTTTACATCCATATCAAGATACCACTTAATATTTATTTGAGAAATAAAGATAATAGTGCTTTACTAATGAGTTAAAAATCAAAATGAATATGGTCTAAATATTAAAATAAAGATGTTTTTTGAAATAAAACTGGCTCTTTTTTGAAAATTATTTCTTGGTAAACCATATTTTACTCAAATACTGAAAATACTGAAATATTGCTAATAAAATTGTTGTTGCAATAAATATTGTAAAATATTTTGCTTTCTCGTTTTATTTGTTGTTATATCTTGTACATGTTGTAATTTTGTAATGAGCACATCAAAGGTTTAGTTTTCAAAATAAAGATTTAACTAACACATCAATGGTTTAATTTTAAAGTTGATAAAAGCAAACAATTTAAGCTGATATGACTATTTGATGAAATGTAAATATTAGATTTTATCTAATAATTTTCATTATTTGGCTTAAAAAAATCCAAAAAAATTCACCATTTTATTTTAAAAAATTCACTAAAACAAACATTCTTCTTTAACATAGCAAAAAACAGTCATTTTGTAATATTCTGATTAAAGACATCATGATATCAGATTCAACATATTTTTATGATATTAGATATAACATTTTTATTATATTACATATAACATGTTTTTATGATATCAGATATAACATATTATTATCAAAAATGGTATGTTTATGTTTAATATCATAGTTATTTTTGTGGACTTTTTTATCTTTATTTTTTTTAATTTTTATTTCTGAAAAAAATTTATTTTATAGCACCATTAAGTTTGTTAGCAATATTGAAGATTTTTGAATTCTAAATGAAAAGTAGCTTATTTATTATTTACCTGTTGTTTGATACTAGTTATTAAATTTTAAAATTCTTTTTTTTTTTTGTCTCCAAATACACATATCTTATACAGTGCATGAACTGTGCATACTTGAAGGTTTTATGATTGTAAGTGAAAACAAATTTGTTATGGTGGCTAGTTTAAACTTTTTTTTTTTTTTTTCTTTTTTTTTTGAAATTCTATTGACAAATGTAATTGATATTTATTTTAGTTCTTAGGAATTTTAAAGTTTTTCTAAAAGTAAATTTTATTTAAAACTTTATTTGAAGTTTTAAACAGAAGTTGAAAAAATCAACTAATGAAAATCAACTGATAATCAACGCACTCAAACATAAATATTGTGAAAATATATAATATATGATTTTATAAATATTATGTAAAAGTATATAAACATTAAGTTTATATATCAAGAATAAGTATATACAGCTGTAAAGCTTTTGAGGACATTTTTCTTAGACTGACATTTTACTGTTTTTTTAGAAACAATTTTAAAATTTTTTGATATTCCATAAAATTATAAGAAGAAAATATTTTTATTTTTTCTTTAAAAAAACAAACAGTTTAATGATTATAAAAGCATGAATTTAAAATTTGATTTGCATACAAAAAAGAATTAAGGTGTAAAGGTAAGATAAAGAATATAAGATAAAAATATTTATTAATATAATTAAGTTGTGAGTATATATTGTAAGTCAGGGCTATTTGATGTTTTGTGAGTCGAGGCTAGTAGATGTTTGGTGGAAAACGCTCATTTATTGGCACTAGTGCCTTAGCTTAATGTGCCTTTAAAATAAAAATTAGAATATTTTTTTAAATATAATAGATTATTTTGAGTTTGTCTCATTTTTACTTTTATTAAATTTGGTTTTTTCTTTCTTTCTTTTAAATAAAAGTATTTTAATATGATTAAATAGTTAAAACAAGAAAGAGAAAAAAATAATAAATAAATAAATAAGAAACAAACATTAATATTATAATATAAATAATATTTTGTAAAATATATTTATTTAAATTCTCTTATAAAACAAGAAGAAAAGGAGCATTTAATAAAAAATTATTTTGCTTTTTTAACTTCATACACACAGCTGTTAATAATTAATAACCTGCTGATAAGCATTAATAAATATATTTATTACCACAATGAATTATTTGTGCAATATTAGGATTATTAAGTATTTATGCCTGTATTATTAATAAATAGTAAAGTTGGATTTGGGAATGATTTTCTGAAATGTGTTGCTTGGTTGTTTTTTTTAAATAGTAAATTAAAATTATAGCTAGAAATAGCATATAAATATATTAATATATTTCAAATAAGATATAATATTTACATTGTATGTAAGACTATATATGCATATGTGTGTGTGTCTTGTTTTAAAAAGACAACCTAAATTTATTTAAAAAAAAAAGTAAAAAGTTATGTGCTAAAATAAAAATTGCTGTAATTTTTTAGATTTTATATATTATGAATTACTACAATTGGAACTGTCATAATTCAGATAATGATAGTGTTAGTAGTGACGATACTGATTACTTGATAAATACACCTTGTAATGTCGATGTCAGCGATTTTGAAACTGAAGTAATGAGCTCAAGCAATGTTATAAACAAAACTTTAAACAATGTTGTTTCCAGTTATTTCTTAGACAAAAAACCTACTATGAGCTCTGTGAAGCCTTTGCAAAGGCCCAGAAATATTGCAAATGGTCATCTTAGATCTAAGAGTTTTGAAGAAAAAACACCAAGAAGTCGTTCGGGTGATGTTTATTATGTGAATGACAGTGTTATACTATCTGTTTCATTTGGTAAGTTTGAAATTCAAATTATTGCCATGATTTTGCTTACAGTTTTATTGAGCATTTTGATTTTAATAGTTTTTAAATTTTTTATCAAAAAAGTTATATATAAGCAATGATTTTATTTTTGTCAAGTAGATAAAATGGATGAAAAAGTAAAAGAAGGCCAAGAGATACTTAAACGCCTACTTGCTGGATCTAATGCATTGTAAGTTTCATTTTCAATGTTTCAATTTAGTTTAAACATTTGTTTGTGTTGTGTGTGTATGTATGTATATATATATATATATATATATATATATATATATATATATATATATATATATATATATATATATATATATATATATTAGAGTGACTATTTTTCTGTTCTTTTTTAACTGTTTTTAAAAAATTCATATATGTAAATACCTGTTCTACATTTTTATACTAGTTTATATTGTAGTTTTTTCAAAAAAATTAAAATATTGTTTTTTGGTAATATATAATAACAGACATATGTAAATTGATTAATATATGTATTTATTGATTTGTATTGTTAGTTTTATTAACTTATCTCATATTTGTATTTCAAATAACTTTATTTATTTTAACTAAACAAAGTTTTTCTGATAAATATTCTTTGAAATCTGTGTTTGATTTTGTCAAACAACCAGCAAAAGGTTGTGTCTTGTATCCTTCAAGTGTAAATAGTTCACAAACACACTAAAGTCAAATGCTCCTTTTAGCACAAATGTTTGTGATACTAAGGTGTTTGATTAAAAAAAAAAATTTCTTGTAAGAGACTATTTTTTGTAAGAGATTTATCTACTAAAACAGGAAATGAATTCTCTTTAGTAATTTACTTATGTTAGGAACCTTGTTCTTTTTTTTTGTAGTGTTGCTTTAGGGATTATCTTTTTCTGGATATTTCCGGAATTCCACATACTTTTCTTAAATTTTAGTTTTTCTGGTTAGGTTTATATATTTGTAATATATTTCTTTTTTAAGCTTTTTCACTCAACACTCTTACAAAATTAAAAAAAGTTAAGAAAAAAAAATAGAAAATAACTCAGCTAAAAGCAAAATTAAGAGGAAGATAAAGCAAAATATATTCCGGATATTTTACCCAAACAATTTTCTTGATTTTTAAAACATGGTCTGGATGATCTATGTTTGTGTTGTGTTTGTGTTGTGATCCATTCTCATCTTAATTATAACCTGTATTAGCAATCATCAATGTCCGACTTAAAAGACCTACAACAATATAATAAAAATGAAAATATAAAATTAGATTTGCATTTTATTCAATAAATTATTAAACAATACATGGTAGGATTCTTAATCTTTATAGTTTAAGAGTTCTAAATTTGATAATTGGTTGTCCTCGACATTATAATGCTAAATGTGACTAATGTAGATATTATTAGTCATAATAAGTATTTTTTGCTGTATACTTATGATGCCTTTTCTTGTCTATTTTCAATCTTTGTTTCCAGTTCCTTATCTATACCTCTACCTATTGACTATTTTCTAGTATTTTCCAAAAATTTAATATTATTTTTTTCAAAAATAAAAAAACTAACCTTTTTATATTCTTTATCTCTTGGCATATGATGGCTGAGTTATATAAGCTCTTGAGTTGACTCTTGACTGTTTTTTTTGTTGAATCAACTCAAGAAAAAAACCTTTGTCTCTTATTCTATCAACTAAGCTTTAATATTGCATTTTTTATTCTAGTAAAGTAAACAATCTAGTTTTTTTCTCAAACATCAATCTTTTTGCAATTCTCTCTTGTCTTCATGCCAACCATACAATTTGTTTTAGACTTCTGTCATTCATTTTCTGTTAATCATTTTTTGCTCTTTATTTCTCTTCTATTAACATATAACATAAATAATGGTTGCTCGCAGGTCTGGAAATGAATCTGTTTTAAGAAAAAAATGTATTTAAAATTGGAGAATTTTAATAGAGATAATTGTATCAACATTTTATATTTCTTGATAAAGAGTTATTACTTATTTTGATTTAAAATTTCAGCTTTCCTGTTTTTTCTTTTTTTTTTTCTTTCCTTTTTGAACAAAATAAGACTGAAAAAACTGTTTAGTCTTATCTATAAATTGAATTGCAGATAAAATTGCAAATTTTGAAAAATTTTAAAGAAAATGAAATAATGAAAATCCATTCACTTGTTTTTATTTTTATGGTAAGTTGCAAGACAACTTTCAGTAACAAGTTTATCAGTAGAGCAAGTTCTTAGTGCAGTAGGAGACATAATTTCTGTGTAGAGGTCATTGAAAAAAAATCACATGTTGAGTAATAGGCATTTAGTACAATAGGGGATCGCATAGTACCAACAATAGAGGATCATTTATTTGTACCAATTGTTCTCATCTGTGATTTTTTTTTTAACTTTTAAAGTTGTCTAATTTTCTGAAACAAAGTACATGTATTTATCTGAGTAATTTCGTAACTTGAATAAGTTATTTAAAGCCTTTTTTTACTTCAATTTTTGTTGTCATTTTCGTTAGTTCATTATTTATTATTTTAGTTTTTTTTATGGTAAATTATTATGTATAGTAAATGTTCATAAGGTTATTTTTGTGAATTTTTTTTTTAAAAAGTTTAATGTTCATATGTTCATAATATTTAGTTTTATGTTGAAAAAAGTAAATGTTTATAAAGTTTATAAAGTTGTGAATTTATTTTAGGCAAAAAGATAAATCAAACTTAGGTTGTAAGTAGTTTGTTTCTTTTTCTAATTTTTCTAATTTATTACACAAATTTGTTGATTCATTTAAATTTTTAAAATCATTTAAATTTTCATTAAAATTTGAATAGTTTAAATCATTCAAATCTTTTTTTATTTATTTTTATATTAAACCTTATTTTTATATTAAACCTTATTTTTATATTAAACCTTATTTTTATATTAAACCTTATTTTTATATTAAACCTTATTTTTATATTAAACCTTATTTTTATATTAAACCTTATTGCATCTAAATTCAGTTATTTTTTAAAATCTATTCACTTTTTAATTTTATGTTTGATTCTTTTTTTGTATTCTTTTAATTTCTTTTGGTTTATTTTAGTCTTATAATTATTTTAATTACTATTAAAATAAATAACTAAAATCTTTTGATCTTATTAAATTCATAACATTAAATATTGTTTTAAATAATGGTTTAGCTGCAAACAAAAGAACTGAAAAATTCTTATCTCCTACTTCAAGAGAAATTATTGATCGCTATTCATTAAAGTTACATAATAATTTTTCAGCGACAGCTGATGCAACTAAACTTAATGATCTGTATGAAAATCGAATTTTACCATCACGTCCTTTATCATATGACAGCATCTGTGGGCTGGGTTCTCCAATAAATAGAACAGGGTCTGCCAATGCATGGAATTCAAGGCCTTACAGTTCATTAAGTAATCACAACAATAAAGAAAATGATTTTCAGTTTAAAAGAAATTGCAGTCAAGAAGAAGTCCAAATAAAAGATATAGAAAAATCCCAAACTGTCATTCCACATTCTACATTCCACTTTAAACAACAATCACCTGTAACTTTTAAAAAACTTCCAGAGTTTGAGGAGATACCAAACAAGTCTTCTTGCGCCTCAAACACTGTTAACACAGAAAATATATCGGAAGAAACAAAAAATCTTTTTGAATCATCCAACCAAAATTCAGATGATGACAGCGATCAAGTACCAAAAATTTACTTGCAATCTTCTTTTACTTCAGGAGAAGTTTCACTTGAAGAAGAAAATGTTTCTAATAAAAAGACTCAAGAAGAAAGTGACGTTTTGTTTTCTGTATGTATTTTATGGGATTCAATTTTGTTTCTTGTTCGCCATAATTTTCTTATATTAAAGTTTCATTTTTTTTATTTTTAAATATAGAGTTTTATAAGTAACAGCAGTAAAGAAAACATTGAAGAGCATTCAAAACATATTACAAACGAACTTTGTTTCTTGCAAGAGGTTTTTCGTCTATACTTTATACAATTTTCTGTTGAACTCATCTTTTTTATTTTTATTTTGATGATGATGTTAATTATGATGATGATGGTATTGATGGTCATGATGATGATGATGAGGAGGAGGAATGGGGCGCGATCGCACTCTGTAACTGACCACGCTAATTTTTTATTATTTTTTTCTTTACAACTTAACCGCGGCAATTTTGATGTTTTAACTATTTGAATGCAATAAAAAAAAGTGTTATGTTATAAAAATCTTTTCATCGTTGATCTTTTCTAAAGTTTTTATTTTATGCGAAGGCTTTAAATAAAACCATAAAACTAATTATAATGATTGTTTACATAAACGCATGTGTAAATTAATAAAATATGTTAAATATTATTTTTTTTATGAAGTTATGTATTTTTAGGATAAATTTAAACGTTTAAAACTATTTTTTCCATGTCTTCCTAAAAATCTTTTTACCAATTATTATTTGAAAGAATTTTTGTTAAGTTACTTTAATTTATGAAAAAGCTCCATGTCCTGCTGCCTTGTAGGATACGCTTTTTTAGGCAAAGGCTAGGAGAAGTTAACTCCGATTTAAAACACCCCCTGCCTTGGGGCTCTTGGTTGAGTAAAGGCTAGAGATGGTGTCTCGATAAAAATACTCATCTTGGGCAGATGTTACATGCATCCAGCTGCTGTCTTGTAGAAGGCCTCCTAGGCAAAGACTTAAGGGGTAAACAGATTCTATCTGTTGACCAGCCTCGCACCCCTTCCTTATCTATTAGGCTGGCGCAGATGTATTTTTAATACATTGTTTCCAGTTTAGGATGTTGAACGCTGGATCTTCTTGACTCAATGCGTGGGTATTGCTTGTGTCTCTATTTTTATGACTGGGCAGCTCATTCTATTATCTCCTAATGAGGGTACAGCTCTAAAACTCAGTTTTATGGTTCTGAGGCCGGCTGGTAGTCAGGTTTCCCGAACTCTGTGGTAGCTCTCAGAGAGGCTGATTCCATCAACAGCCGAAAAATATCAGAGTACTAACAGTGCCATGTTGCGCATGGATGGTGTCCCTGTTTGTACTTTTGGTGTGCATTGCAGAGGCCACATTTGGAGCCCTTTGTTACGGCTTAGGGTTTATTAATAGTAATGAGGCTATTGCTTAGTTGTTAAATAGTGTACTGAGTACTATCTATACTTGAGTCAAGTTCTATATAAATTTAAAATGACTAAAGTACCTAAAACTAAAAAACACAAAAAACCATTGTCATCACCAAGTTCTCTAAACCTATCATTTACTAATATTCGTGGTCTTCGAAGTAACTTTTCTTCTGTTGAGTCTTATCTCTTGCAAAGTTCACCAGACCTACTTGCTCTTTGTGAGACTAATTTGAGTTCAGCTGTCCCATCTTGTGATCTTAGTGTTGATGGTTATCTTCCTTTAATTCGTAAAGACTCCAATAATCACATGCTTGGCCTGGGCATCTACATTCGTAAGAACTCACCCATTTGTCGTGAAACTAGGTTTGAATCCACAGACTATTCATTTATGTGCTTTCGTTTAGCACAACTTCACTCTATCGCCTTCCTCTTTGTTCTATATCGCTCTCCTTCATCCCAAGATTGCACTATTCTTGATGTTATTTCTGATCAAATTGACCAAGCCCTCTCTCTTTATCCATCGGCCAATATTGTCGTTGTTGGTGACTTTAATGCCCATCACACCGATTGGCTTGGCTCTAGTGTCAGTGACTCTGCTGGCGTTAAGGCCCTCAACTTTTGCCTTTCTCAATCTCTAACTCAAATAGTCAACTTTCCAACTCGTTTTCCAGACAACCCTAATCATTTACCTTCTCTACTCGACTTATGTCTTGTTTTGGATCCTAGTCAGTGCTCAATTTCTCCACATTCACCCTTAGGTACTTCTGATCACGGTTTGATATCTCTAAAACTATTATCAAATTCTTCTACTTCATCAGAATCCCCCTATCATCGTACCACATACAACTACCTTAAAGCTGACTGGGACTCTTTCCGTGATTTTCTTCGTGATGGCCCTTGGGTAGAAATCTTTCGTCTTCCTGCTGACAAATGTGCTTCTTACATAACTTCGTGGATTCAGGCTGGCATGGAATCTTTTATTCCCTCTCGACGATTCCAGGTCAAGCCTCACTCTTCTCCTTGGTTTTCCTCACATTGCGCTGCAGCAATTTCTAATCGAAACCGTTACTTCCATATCTATCAGCAAAACAATTCTCCAGAAAACAGACATCTGTTCACTATCGCCAGAAACCATTGTAAAAAGGTTTTGTCTGACGCCAAAGCTCGCTATTCCCAGGTCATTAAATCTCGTATCTCATCACAAAAATTAGGCTCTCGAGACTTCTGGAGAATTTTTAACAGTAACAATAATAAGGGCAAATCTGTTATTCCTTCTCTCTTGTATGGTTCAGACTTTGTCACCTCACCTAAAGACAAAGCTGAATTGTTTGCTAAGAACTTTTCATCAATATCATCTCTTGATTCCACTAGTTGCGTTTTACCTGACATAGCCGTCAAACAGGTTGATCCCTTGCTTGACATTCGCATCACTTCAGCTTCTGTATCTAAAGTAATTTCCTGCTTAGACTCTTCAACAGCTTGTGGTCCTGACAACATTCCTGTTGTAGTCTTGCAGAGGTGTTCTCCGGACCTTTCATCCATACTTTCTAAACTATTTAACAAGTGCTTATCAGAGTCTTGTTTTCCATCATGCTGGAAAGCAGCATCTGTTATCCCTATTTTCAAAAATTCCGGAAAGCGATCTGATTCATCTAACTACCGTCCCTTTAGTCTTCTTCCTGTCATAAGCAAGGTTTTTGAATCTTTAATCAACAAACACTTAATCTCTCATCTTGAATCAAATAACTTACTTTCTGATCATCAATATGGATTTCGGTCTTCTCGTTCTACAGCTGATGTGCTAACAGTAATAACCGATAGGTTTTACCGTGCATTAGATAGAGGTGGAGAGGTTAAGGCTATCGCACTTGACATTTCTAAAGCTTTTGATAAAGTTTGGCATGCTGGTCTTCTCCATAAGCTTTCTTCTTATGGTGTAGCTGGTAACGTCTTTAAGATTATTGAGTCCTTTCTTTCCAATCGTAGTATAAAAGTTGTCCTCGATGGACAACACTCTTCTTCACATCCTGTAACTTCAGGGGTTCCTCAAGGTTCAATCCTTGGCCCTATACTCTTTTTAATTTACATTAACGATCTTCCAGATATTCTCACATCTAAGGTGGCATTATTCGCTGACGACACTACCATTTACTCTTGTCATGATAAGAAGCCTACACTCTCTGATTGCTTGGAGGGGGTATCTGAGCTTGAAAAGGATCTCACTTCTGCTACAGCATGGGGCTCACAGTGGCTGGTGAACTTTAATTCAGATAAAACTCAATTTTATTCGGCCAATCGTTATCGTAATAATTTAGATCTTCCTATATTTATGAATGGTAATGTACTAGATGAGTCATCTACCATTCATCTTCTAGGATTAACTCTTACTACTGATCTTTCTTTTAAACCGTATATCAAATCCATTGCAAAATTAGCATCTGCTAAGGTTGCATCTCTTTATCGAGCTCGACACTTTCTTACTCCAGATTCTATTCTCTATCTCTATAAATCTCAAATCCGTCCCTGTATGGAATACTGTTGCCACATCTGGGGCGGATCTTCTAATGATGCTCTTTCTCTTTTAGACAAGGTGCAAAAACGAATTGTAAACATAGTTGGACCTGCTCTGGCAGCCAATCTCCAACCTTTGTCACATCGTCGTAATGTTGCTTCTCTTTCTCTTTTCTACAAATACTATAATGGGCACTGCTCTAAAGAGCTAGCGTCCCTTGTGCCATCTACTAAAATTCATTCTCGTGTTACTCGCCATTCAATTAAGTCTCATCCTTTTTCTGTGACTGTTCCTAAGTGCTTCAAAAACTCTTATTCTTCTAGTTTTTTTCCTCGAACATCAGTTCTTTGGAATTCGCTTCCTTCATCTTGCTTTCCTGATTCATATAATTTGCAATCTTTTAAGTCATCAGTCAATCGCTATCTTGCTCTACAGATTTAGTCTTTTCTCTTCCAGTAACTTCCAACTCTTATAGTGGTTGCTTGCAGCCTTGTTAGAAGTGAAGATGTTAAAAAAAAAAAAAAAAAAAAAAAAAAAAAAAAAAAAAAAAAGTTCAAAACCTTTTTGTGACAATTTACTTAGAAACTCGTTTAGGAACATTTTATATGAATTATACAAGAATATAAAATAACTTTATTTACTTATATAAGCATGTATTTTGAAAAAAGTTTTTTTTTTTTTTTTTTTTTTTAATTATGAGATGAATGAGTTTAATTCTTTTAAAATAATTTTTAAATTCCTTACGCGAAGCGCTTATTAATAACGTAACGCTTGTTAATGTAATGCTCAAATTATAATTAAATCAAATTGCTTGTTGACAGTTTTTATTTAAATCGCAGGCGCATTTTATTTATTTTTTTCCTATATTTATGAATAGAAAAGCTAAAAACTTTTATTGTAATTAGACTAATTATAGCATGAAGTTATTAAAAATTACTTTTTTAAAAAGAATACGTTGTTTTTTTAAACATTTTTTTTTGCAACTTTTTTGAAAAAATAAAAGTTTATACAATTGAAAAATATTATATACAACGCTTTTTAATAAATTTAATAAAATTTGTTCATTTATTAAACAATTATTAGTTGTAATTTATTACTTAATTTAAAAGTGTTTTGAGACACTTTAATAAAATGTTTAAAAAGATAAATTTTAATAACATTTATTTCGTGCTCAATTAAAAACGCAACAAAAGTTTTGCTTCGAGTTTAAGTTCTTATTTTTATTTTAGTGCTTATATAATTTCTTTTCCGTAAAAAATTTTTTTTTCGTCAGGAATTTTTTTGTTTGTTTGTTGTTTTTTTTTTTAACTTTTTTCTTAGTTTAAGTTTAGCTTAGCGTTTCAACAATCAGAGCATTTCTGAAATCATCAAAACATATAAACAATCGTGGTCAAGTTGTCAAAAAATAAAATCTTTTGCGCGGTCAGTTATAGCGCTGGATCGTACGCCATTCCTGTCCAAGCCTGATGATGATGACAATTTTTATAATTATTTTATGTTTAAATGATATTTTAAATCAGGTTCATCAAAAAGAAACAGATTCTTTACTTACTACAGTGGAGCTGCTACGTCAGCAAAAAAATACCCTTTTAGATCATGTGCACCAGTTAAAAGATGCTTTATCTAATAAAAATCAAGCATTTTCTGACCTTCAAGATCGAATGAACATTAAAACAAAACAATATTTGACTGATGAACTTGAACGACAAAATCTTAAAGATGAGGTAACTAAGTTGGTGATTTTATGTGTACTTGTGACTTTTGGTTTTATGTGTACTTGTGACTTATGGTTCAGTTTATCTGTGTGTATGGGTGACAATCAAATTTTCTGTTCATTTTTACTTAGTTTGCATTACACTTTTTGTGTTTATACATGATTATATTGTGGGGGTTATTGTAATAAAGTCAAATAATGCACAAGATATGCTGATTTATATATATATATTTAAAAAAAAAAAAAAAACTTTTAATAAATGTTATACAATATTCATTTTTTTTATATTGCTAGTTTTATTTTAATTATTTTATTAAGAGTTTACAATAACTCAAAATTTTATCTTCTTTTCTTCAAAATTAGAATAAAACTATCAATTAAACAAACCAAACTGCTTTTCACAATGTAAATTTTAAGGCTTCATTTTTAAATTGTAAACATTGGCTCTTCATTTTCAAATTGTGAGGGTCAACTCTTCATTTTCAAATTTATGGGTCAACTCTTCATTTTTTAATTGCGACAGCGCTTCATTTTTAAACTGTGAAGGTTAACTCTTCATATTTAAATTGTGAGGGTTAGCTCTTCATTTTTAAATTGTAAGGATTAGCTCTTCATTTTTTTATTTACCTGCACAGCTGTTTTAGCCTATGGTTTGTGAATCACTCGAAACAAATGATTATTTTTTAACAAAAATGATTGTTGAAATACTTTTTTAACTAAGTTTATTTATTTAGAAAAGAATAGGGAACAGACAAGCATTTTGGCACTATTAATTGTTTGATTTGTCAATGAACCAATTAATGTTTTTAAACTTTTTCTCTTTTTGCAAACTTTTTTTTTAATTGTGTGGGCCTTTTGCACTGCATTACTTGCCCATAACTATACTTAAATCAAATGCATTGGAATCTTTACCTTACTCAAATTAAATTTTAAAAGTGTTTCTTTTTTAAAGAGTTTTTTGTGTCTGCCTTCACTATTTATAAGTGAAAAATGGTGTTCAGCTGACGCATTAGAGGCAAGCAAAATAAACAGTTTAACAAGAAGTAAAATTGGAAGCCATTCATTTTTTATTGAGTTCTGCATTTTAGTGCAGTAACTATTTCAACACTCTAGGAAAAAAATTTATATAGAATTTCTATAAACATTTGAAAAATATGACCTATAGAAATTCTATAGCCCTTCTATAGAATGTCAAATAATTTCTGTAGAAATTGCTGTAAAACATTTTTTTTATATAAATATATGTAGAAAAAAAAGTTCTATAAGAGTTTCTATAAAAAATGAATAGAATTTCTATAGAATTTCTATTTATTTCTATAGAAACACAAACTTTGACAAAGAAGACTGCTGCACAGACTTGAAAAGCGCAAAAATAAAATTGTGCTGATTTTTTTTTTTGTTAAAAAATGATCATTTAAAATAAGTTAAGTGTGATACTACTAGGAAAGTGGTGAGCATCGAACTTGGAACTTGCTTATGAAGCAAGCGCTCTACCACTACACCACTACCACATTTTAATGGTTTAGCAAAACCTTGATAAATCTTAAGCCTAACATGCAAAAAATGCAAATTTTGGAAAACATCATACATTTTTGTAAATATATTTCAAATTTAATAATAAAATGAGTTAAATTTTAAGTATATCACCATTTATTAAACTTAAAGTATTAAATAGAAATTTAAATAAAAAGTGTGGTCACTAATAGTGGAAATGTCGTAGAATTTCATTTGGTCAAGAAAATTTCATGGAATTTGACAAGTTGTCATTCAAAGTCACCAAATGGAACTTTTTAAAATGATTTTTATTTTTATACATTTAGAAGTTTAAATTTTAGTGTTATTCAGAACAATAAGTATCAGTTAAATAAATAATAAAAATACATTTATAAATTTTGTTTGAGTTGGTATCAATCAATCAGTTATGGTTTGTTCAGGTCAGATCCCCCCTGCTAATGGTAATATTTAATCTAGTAGTACCTGCTTCAGGTAAGAACTTAAGGCACTTAAAACTATAATATAAACCTCCTAATTAAATTCTGGGTAAGGAATGAAGGAGGAATGATGATCATCCTAGTGATAGCATTACAATAAGATTATCTGCATATATTGACACCATCTGCATAACAATGGTTAACACCATGATAGGTATTGATAATGGTAAAAAATTCTTAAAATAAGTCTTCTTAAAATAAAGTTAATGTCCTTTTATACTTGAAAATTCTAGCAAAAACAAAAAGACCAAACATAAATCATGATAAACTAGTAAGTTATTATAAGGACAACCTTATATAGCAAAGTTGGAATTCTTCAGGGATTTTGTACAGCATAATTAAGAAATTGAATCTGATCTCATGGATTTGTTGGCTATTAGGGGAAAGAAAAAGAAATGCAAACTCTCATTAAACAGCTGAAATGATGAAATAATGCTATTGTAAAATTAAAGATAGATTTAAAAGTCATTAAAGTTAATTTAAGTTTTAGTCATTTTATATCTTGAAAGAAAGTTTTTTATTTTTATTAGAGTAAAGTAGTTTGGCTTTTTTGTATGTTTTTGTACAAAATTTTTAAAAGCATCATTTTAACTATTAAAACAAATGATTGATATCAGCGCACAAAACTAATAGAAACAGACCATCACCTTTTTGGTGATGGTCTGTTTCTATTAGGTTCATCCATAAAAAGAAAAAGGTCTTTTTCCATAACAAAAGGGATTCATAAGTATTATTTAATTTCCTTGTTTATTATGTATATACTAGAGTTTGATTTTTTCAATCCTTTGCTATTTCCAGTATTAGCAAAATTGGAATTATCTATAGTTGCCAGTTAGGTAATTAGCAGTTTATATTTTTAAGAATTTTGATAAGTTAGTTTTACAATTACTTTATTTGTGTTACTTTTTGTGAGGTTTCTTGCAATTAAAATCAAATTATGTCAAATAAATGTAAATTATGTTGTTGCATTTCTTGTATTTGCTCACTTATCCAATTTTTTATTTTATCATCATCTTCCTCTTGATATTTTGATTTATATCTATGGTCACAAAAATTAGAAAAACATAAATACTTATTATGTAAAAATGTACCCAGTCTTTTTTTTACCAACTCAATTAAATTGCTTAATAAAGTAATTATACTAATTAAACTATTCCATGTAATGGAAATAAATACTATAATGCAAGATGTTGCTACATGTAACATGTAGTAACATCTTGTATTAATATACGTTTATTTGTACCAAGTTGTTCCTGAATTGCTTCTATTTTACTGTTGCTGTCGTTGAATGGTGAAAATAAGTTGCCAGACGTCTGCAACAAACTAAAATAACTTATACAGATTTTTGAGGCAAAATTGAGTCATGTATACATAACTGTATTGTATGTATAAAATATGGCATTAACATAAAACCACTATCTTTAACACCAGCTATTGTAATAATGCCATATTGATGGCATTATCATGTACAACAATTTAAATTTTGAAATTTTGTGCAAAATTTCAAAACTTTGTTAACCCTTATGTAAATACTCACGTATGTAAATACTCGCAAATATTCATTACTGAGCGAGTGCGTTGTCATGCTCATAAAGGCAACATTTGAACTAGTTACTGTCCAAATGTTAGTTGTAAAGGAGATATACCTTGCAGCAGATATATTTATCTTGATAGAATTAAATAGTTCATTTTATATTTGTGGAACAAAATAGCTTCTGCTGGGATATGTGTTATGACACATCTCTTAAATTAATTTTTAAAACTGAGATCTTCTACCATTATATATGGTCCAATGTCCAATATTATCATTTCTCCTATGTCATTGTGGATTTTAATTGTTTTATTATCATTAATGTCCAATAACTTTTTTTTATTAAGACTATCCATTAATATTTTCAGAACAATTTGATGTTAATGCAGTAGATAGTATAGTAATTTTTTTTTATCAGAGCTTTTTTCAGCTAATATATATTCTGCAAGGTAATTTTTTTTTAAATGGCATCTTATTACAGTAGGTATAAATGCTTTTGGACAACTCTTACTTCTGGAAAGTTATGTATAGTAGGACAATACAAAAATAAATGTCTTTTTTAGAAACTTAAAAAATTATTCTTAACACTCCTTATAGAAGACTTTTTTTTGAAGACTAATTTATACTTCTACAACATTGAAAAATTAATACTGAATTATAAAAAATGAAAAATTACCCAGAAAAAAAAAAAAAACATTTTTTTAATATAATTCTGACAATAATAAATTTTATGTTTTATAAATAATAATTAATTTTAAATATATTTTAAATAATTCTAAATATATTTTAAAACATAAAATTTTTTACAATAAAAACTACTTAACATTTTTACTTTTTTTTTTTTTAATCAAACAATGATTAATTCACATCAAATTCAAATCACAAACAATGATTAATTATCTAAACAAAAACAATGGACTTTTCAAAACTTTGTACTAATTTTTCAAACAAAATTTATATGCGCTTTTTTTTAAAAAATACACTTAATATTTTTATAGTTTTCACTTCGAGTTCAAATACTAATGTTTAATTGGATGACCTAGTGCCAAAGTTTAAAAGTTATCAACAAATACCAATGCACCTAACAAACTAAAAGTAATTGCTGTTTTGTGCACTTAAAATTATATATAAATTGTATATTGATGTTTGCAAAGAAACACTACATAAATCATTTTTTAATAAAAACTAATTTTTTTCAATTTTGTACTACAGGATATTGTATAGGTTAAGTACTTAACCATCCATTTTTAAAATTAAAAATAGTTTAGTTACAAAACCATTTGGTATTCAGTAAAATATCATGGTTAAATTTTCTGGTTTGGTGTTTGGCAAAAAGACTGAATTTGACGCATCCCTAATTTTAAGCCAATAATTAACATTGTGTTTTGCATGCATAATAGCTCTCCATCAATTATCTATTTGTAATTGTAATCTATTATTTTTCTTTTTATTTTAACTTTTTCTTTAGTGGGTAGTTCAGATGTTAAAAATTATTGAAAGAAACATTTTATCCATTTTTTTAATTATATATATATATATTTAATTTTTTTTTTTACAAAAAATTTTGTAGAAAAATATTTGTGTGTGTAGCACCACCAGAGACATGAAGATAATGATAACAACATGTTGCCAAGTTATCAGAATATTCACTCTGTATAAAAGTAAAAAAAAAAGTTAAAGTTTAAATTAAGTATGAAAACATTTCTTAAAATAAATTATTCTAAAAAGTTGCATTGATTATTTTAAAAGTTACAGAAATGAAGCAGAGGAGTATGATAGTTGGAGTATAGAAATTGTTAAAAAAAAGATTATAATATATCATAAAATTATATGTCAATGTAACATATATTTAAGTTATTTAATTTTATCTTGGCATTAAATCTAAAGAGAATTCATCAACCTGGAACTTATCATGAAGCAAGGTTTAAGGGTTTATGGAACTTGTCATGATGCAAGGTTTAAGGGTTTATGGAGCTTATCATGTAGCAAGGTTTAAGGGTTTATGGAACTTGTCATGATGCAAGGTTTAAGGGTTTATGGAACTTGTTATGATGCAAGATTTAAGGGTTTATGGAACTTGTCATGATGCAAGGTTTAAGGGTGATGTTATTCTCATACTAGAGTGAAATCTACTTTTTTAACATTTTAAACTTATGAAAATTAGAGAGAAATTTAAACATCAACCTTTGTTGTTTCTGTTTGCTATGCTCCTTTTTACCTAAAGTCAGAAGGAAAACCTTGGAAACGCAGAAGAGAAACTTAGCCCCCTACTGCTTTGGTGTCACTTGTTAGATGTTGTTTCAATGACATAAATATTTTTGAACTAGGGAATCTTTGTATTTTACATTCGCAATCTACAATAATAAACAAAGAAGACAGTGGGTCATACCGTGAGAATGCCCTGATGGTACTTTGCAAACAAACTGGCACACCAATTGACAGCATTCAAAAAAATTTTATTGAAGTTTTTACTTTTTAAACCAAAAGAAATCCAAAGAAAAGCTTTTCAGACAACTTCTTAGATGAATCCTTCAACCAACAAAAAATGCTCAAACCAACCTATTGAAAAAATTAAACAAAATGCTGCTTTACATCCACATTGATTCTTACTATCTTCTAGTGAATGAATAAAAAATTACAAACACTCATTCACAAACAGAAAACTGGAAAATTCAACTACCCTTTACATATGGAAAGTACATAAAGCAAATAAAAAAAAGAACTACCTTCAACTTCCAACTACCCAAAACGAGTTTTTGCTTTACAATCACTATCCCACAGGTTAAAGTCTAAATAATGAATTTTTATAGTTTTTTTACACCACATTGCATTAAATAGATTTTTTTTTTTTTTTTTTTTTTTTTTTTTTTTTTTTACGAAAAAAATCTTTAAAACATGTTTCATTCCCTGAAACCTTGAAAAATGAACTTTAATAATTCTCAAAACAGATATAAAAAGAATAGCTTAAAAGCCTAACTTAAGTTGCTTTTAAACGCTTGACTTCCTTAATTATAAATTTATTGTTTTCCTTATCCAACACCCCTCCCTCCCCTCATCCCCACAATAATTCTTAGTCAAAGGACAATCATCTAAAATATTAATTAGTGAGGTTTATTTTAAATTTTTATTGATTTTTTGGCATTAATTAATGTGTTGTGCAAGTATTGATTAATTCTAGTTTTGGATTTTGCGATACTCATTTTACTGCTCTTTCATTTGTCAAGCTTTTTCTTCTGGAACAATGAATATTTGCATAACTGATAAAACTTTATTTCTAAGTAGCAATTGCATCTCAAAGCTGAAAAATTTTTGCTGCTGCTACTGCTACAACTCTTTCTTTTGAAAATAGATTCTAAAGACTTTTCCAAGTATATTTCATTATACATAGTGAAAATCCACAATATATTTCAATATACACAGTTAAAATCCACAATATATTTCAATATACACAGTGAAAATCCACAATATATTTCAATATACACAGTGAAAATCCACAATATATTTCAATATACACAGTGAAAATCCACAATGCCAAAGTGGAATTACATCTATTATTAAAAAGATTTTCATCCTGTATTTTAACTTGATATAAAATGGTTAGAAATAAAATAGATTAAAACCATCTTTGTATTTGTATAAATGTACAATTACTTGGCTTTCACTTAAAGTTTTAAGGAAAAAATTGTTTAATTTATGAATTATTTTTAATACTGCACCTAAAATGAGTGTATTTAAGTTCCTTACAATATTTGTTGATTGTGGTATTGAAACACTAAAAATATGTTACAAACTAATCTTAGTTATAAAAGAATGTTAAGTGTTGAGATAGAGTTAAAAATATCAATAACAACAGCAACAAAAAAAGTCTCTGTGATTGACCCCATTGTTTTGAAGAGGTTAATGAATTTAATAAAAAACTTAGTTTATTATTTATTTTTAAAAATGAATACATATCTATATAAGTTTTACCTAAAAGCAATGATTTCTATGAAGTAGAATAATCAAGGCAATATTAATTCAAAGTTGATAGTGTCTTAATACAATTAATGTATTAATAATAGCTTTTATTAATAATAACATTAATACTAAGTGCCTTATTTTTGCATTGAAATTGTTTTTAAAAAATTTTTAATTTCAACCTTGTACCTTTTCATTAAAATAATTAATTTCATTAAAAAGTAAAACTTAGCAGTTAACTGCTAAGTTTTACAATTGTTTTGGTAATAATTTTTTTAAATACTATCATGGTTTTATATAAAAAAACATGAGTCAGGATGACAACATCAGCTTTTGCTATGTCTAATAACATCTGCCAAATAACATCTGCAAATATAATGAGGTATAACTACATCTGTCCAACAAAATCTGAAATATCATTGATGTTTAAAAACATCTGTGTAAAAAGTATATGATTACTACAGATGTAGTTACATCTTTTCAATTATCTAAGTATAATAACATCTGTACAACTACATCTGTAAATTCTACAGATGTAATTACATATTTTAAATTATATTAATGACAGCTACAGGATTATATGAAATTATTAAATTATAATGCGTTATTTTAACCAGATGTAGTTATATATATTGTTTTTTTTAAGATGTAGTTATATTTGGAAAAAATTATTAAATAATAACACATTATTTTAACCAGATGTTGTTTCATATATGTGTTTTTTTTTTTCAGATGTAGCTACATCTTGAAAAAAATGTTAATTATAAATGCATTATTTTAACCAGGTGTAGTTAAGATTCTTTTCAGATGTAGTTACACATGGAGGAAATTCTTCCAGTTGTTATAGGACTAGGTGAAAAATTATCGGATGTAGTTACATCTTCCTAAAGAAGTTGTTAGGGGTCATTGAATTTTCAGATGATACTGGACAGATGCATCTGTATATATGCTCCAACAACTTCTAGATGTTGTTGGAATAAAAACAAAAGTACAGATGTTTTTTTTTTGACAAAATTGTACAAATGATCTTGGACTACTCTACAGATGTTGTTGGTCAGATTTAGTAATCTTTTACCAAAACTATAATCATTTTGATAGTTGTATCTCATTTCTACTTGTGTGGCTTGTTTTATCAACTCTCATTCTTTGAGAACTATTACTTTTACTTACTTAAAACATTATCCAGTATTTATTTTCATTATCATTTACAGTATGGTATAAATCTTTATGCGATTTTATGTTGATCTAACTATATTATTGATATATGAATTTATTGTATGTTGTTTCTTTTATTATTTTATGTGTAGGTTTCAATTTTGACCAATACAAAAGCTTGGCTAGGTAATCATATTGCTGAGTTGGAAAAGGTGAAAATCATTTATGTTTTAAATTTATATTTTGTTTGACATATATAAATAATAAATAAAGGTTAATATATAAATAATAATGATAATGGTAATAATAATAATAATAATAATGATAGTAATAAAAATCATAATAATAATATAGTAAAAGTAATATTAATTAGTAAAATATTAATTGTATATTTTTATAATAATTTTTTTAAACTTATTAATTTAAAAAAACTATTATTCAAGTTATGTTAATTTGTTTGTTTTTATTACATTTTTTTATTACGTATACATAAAATTTTTTTGATATTATTTTTTGTTTATTTGACATTTGTTAAAGTTATATTCTTTATTTAATATTATTTGCTCAGGCTCTAAATGATCAATGTAATCAACTGAAGGAGTTAGAAAAACTGTTTAACAAAGAAAGAGAAGCAGAAAAATTGATATCTATGGTAATCTTTATGGTTTTCTCGTTTGAGTTTTTTTTTAATATATATTTTTTTTATTTTGTTATTTTTGCTTGATTCTTCAGAAAAAAGATGAAGAGATTGCTCGTTTACATGAAAGTCTTCAAGAGTTTCACAATAGAAGCTTGCAGTTGAATGAAGAAATATGCATTCATTCACTAAAACAAGTAAGTCTGTTAATGCTTAATAAACACTACTATGTGATACTACGTGGTCTATTGGTAGATTACTCTTTTTCTATGTGAAAGGTATAGAGCTCAGACCAACTATGTTCCTGAAAATATGATGTTCAACTTGTTTTTTCGCTCAGCAGCTTTGTTTTTCAAAGTTCATGTTTTTGGATTAAAAATGTGGAGAGAGGATTTTAGTTTGAATTGAGAGAAATTAAAAGAAAGTAAGTAGCCTCTTTAAATATGGTGGTCCTCTGGGCTTTGAGGGAGATAATTGTATAATAAAAAAAAATTAATTTTCATATTTTAAAAATTATTATTAACAGTTTTATTTGCTATTTAAAAATAATCCATGTACACTTCAGAACCTGATCATGTAAATTACCTATCTGTGATATAATTTTTTATCTGATTAAGACCTAATAAAATTTATAATAGTTAATTAATAATTACTGAAAGAAAAAGTAAACACGTCCACATTTAATTGAAAACTTCATCAGGCTATCACCAAATCATTAAAGCAAAATCTAATTATTTCTGAAAGAGAGTGAGTTTTATGGTATGAAACACCACCCACAGCACATCCACCCACCACACCCCAAAATATTTGCTTTAATGCTTGCTTCAAGTCCTGTTATGTCATAGAATATCCAAACTGAGATGACAAGGAGTTGAACAAAATGAACTTGATTGTGAATTTGATAAAATCCTAAAATTACAAATTCGGCAGCTGTTTATTAGTTTATGGTGGAATGTATATAAAATGTACGATTAAATGAATTACAGTAAAAAGTGATTGTCTCTACTATGTGAGGAAATGTTTCAAAAAAGATTAAACATGTGATGCAAAATAAATTTGCTTAAAAACATTTTATTTATTACTTTTTAAATTTTGAGGATGCAAGGAGGCTACTTTTTCAAAGCTCTTTTAACCCTAAATTTTAAAGTACCAACTTGATTAAACACGGTTAAACAAGGCTGCTGTGCAAAGATACAGGTTAAACACTTTCCTTCCAGATAAATGCTTAACATTATATTATGGAGTGTCTCCAAAGACATTGCTTGCTCTTGATTCATCAACACAGCTGTTACATTTTGGCCAGATTTAGCTTGTAGTCACTATGGTCAAGCAACTGTTGAATAATAAAATATTAACAAAGTTGAGATGTTGCCTAAAATTATGAACCTGCCTTTTGTCTGGAACTTTTTCTAACCAAGAAATACTGAGCCATTACAAAGTTCAAGTTAAGAAATCTAAACTCTTTAAAGAGGTTTTCTGTAAATTTATAGAAGAACATAAGTTTAGAGTAAAATCAAATTTCACTTCTTTTTTTCTTGCTTTCAAATAAAAATGTTTAAAAATAAACATTGGGGTTTATATTACTCTCCATTTTGAAAAGTGCTCAAAATAAAAATTGATATACCAATATGATCTACCATTTGTATTTAAATAAGAAATACCTTTTATCTATTTCATTTTTAAATGCAAGTCTAAAAAAAATGTTTGTATTACATCTGTTAATTAATAAATTTTACAGCAAATTATTACTTTAAACTAAAGAAATAACTGCGTTAATCCAGGATTTAAGGTTTCTTGTTTTGGACTTCTACTGGTGAGCACAAGATCACCTTAAAATAGTTTCCATTAAACATTTTAATAATACTTGGATCCTTAATAAGAAAACGGAAATAACCAATATTATATTAAATTATTATATTATAGATATGTATTGTTTGTGTTGAAACTTTTGTTTTGAATTTTTTTACTGAAACTACAAAACCTTTTGTTATAGGAAGAAGTCATAACAGAACAAAAGATTTATCAACTAAAGTTAGAAGAGGAGATTGAAGCAGAGCGAAAACTCTGTCAACAAAAAGTGGATGATGCAATTGCAGGAGAGCGCAAAGCTAATCAGAATTTTTATGAAGAAGAGTTAAAGAAACAACATCAAGGATTTGAAATAAAGCTAAATAATATTATAGCGGAAAATCATGCAAAATATAAAAATGAACTTGACATAATTCTTGAAGAAAACAGAAAATTGAAGCAGCAGGTGGAAACCATTCAGTTTGATCTTTTATCTGAGCAGAATCGCAAATTAACCCAGCAATATCGATATGAAGATCAAATAAATGAGTTACAAACAAAGGTAGATACAAAACAGAATCTTTTAATAAATTTGGAGTCTGAATTGCATCAGGTGAAAGAGCAGTTTAAAAAAGATTATCAACAAATGGAGTTGCGATGCAATGAATTGCTATTAGTAGGTTTTTCTTTATCTTTTATTTTTTAACTTTTCTGATCCAACCAATTCATTTATGTTAAAATATAATGATAAATTGAATGGGGCAAGGAGTAACTGACTAGGCCATAGCGTCATTTAAAAAATAATATTAGCAGGGGTTATTTTGTATTTTATTTCTTATATATATATATATATATATATATATATATATATATATATATATATATATATATATATATATATATATATATATATATATATATATATATATATATATATATATATATATATATAGTTACAATATATTAGGATATATGAGGGTTGAACTAAGGGTGAAACAGTAAATAATAATTAATTAATAAAAAATAATTTATTTAAAAAAAAAAAAAAAAAAAAAACTATAAATAAAAAAAAAAATTTTTTTAACATGTTTGGAAATTTTAAAAATTAAAAACAAAATTGTAAAACGTTGCATGTTATAAATAAAAAAATTAAATGGAATTTAAATTTAATAATAAATTTAAAATAAATGAAATAAATTTAAATTAAAAATTTTATAAAAATGAAAGTAGAAAAAAGTTTGTTTAACTATCTGTTTTGTTTTGTTTTTTCTGAAAAAAAAAATTTTCACAACTGCCAGGAAAATGTTTTTTACAACAATCAATTACTGCTTAATGTTTTCTGCATATTTTAATATAATACTATAATGAAACTTAAAAGATAAAGCATGATAAAACCATAAAGAAACAATTATTTTCTAGTTTAATGAATTTCTAAATAAAAGATGCAATTTTATTACCAAATAATAAGGAAGTCATTGTGTTGCTAAACTTTTTTTTGAATGTTATCTTTTGACTGTACTACAATAATACAATCTGTAACTTCTTTCATTGAAACACTAGTAAAATGGTGTAAATTTATTGTATACACTTTTGCATTTAATAAAGAAAAATTGCCTTAACTTGAGCTAATATCTCATATCAGTCAAAGTTTGGCTGATATAAGATATTAGTTCAAGTTAATTTAAAATGGGCTTTAGTTGAACATTCTTTAAATTGAATCATGCATGTGTGTATATGCATATATATGTATACGTATATGTATATGTATATATATATATACATTAGGGTGTCCTAAAAAACAGCTTTTTTAAAAATAATTTGCTCTCACCCCCTAAATGTGTTCTATCTAATACAAAAACACTGAAATGATACTTCTTTTTTTTAACGAAATCGGCAATTTTTTTTACAGAAAATTGTTTTTTGTTTTGGCAAATATTGTATATTTTAAGGGAAATATCGTTACGTACCGTTTTTTCCGAAATAAACATTATTTTTGAAATTTTTATATAATTTCGATTCCTTTGAGTACCAGGTTGACATAATTTTTAAAAACTTTTTTTTTGAAAATATAAGGGACCCATTAAATATTCGAGGGTCTTGAGGGACCCTTTAAATTATTTTCTATTGAAAAAAAATTTAAACTTAGTGTTTTTGTATTAGATAGAACACATTTAGGGGGTGAGAGCAGATTGTTTTTAAAAGGTTACAAAAATAACCAGCTCAGGTATATTTTGCATTTCTAAAGTATTTTCAGAAGTTGCTATAGATAAATATAGCACAAAGAACTCCAAACTTATTAAAAATGATGTCTTCACTACAACCTCAACTTAAAGCATAATTTAACTTTAATGGGAATGACAATAATACTTTTTCATTTTTTATTGATGCTCATTTCAAAACTAATTTGCTGAAATCTTTTAAAATACAACAAACAAAAAATTTTTTAGATGCTCTGAGAAATTTTGTGATGTGTGACACGCATTACAATCTTTCTCAGTAAAAGTTGATTCTTTTCAGTTATAGGCAGCTTGGCACCAATGAATCATCACTGTTGCTTAGTAGCACCAGTGATGATTCATCTCCAAAATGATCAAACCAATCTCTACATAAAATATGTACATATATGATGTGGAAAAGAAAATTTTTTCATGAAACTGTTCATTTAAATCGGACAGCAAACCCTTACTAAAGGTGTTCAGTAAACTCTTACAAGTTTTCGTCATCAAAATTTATATGGAATTTATATGAAAAATTCTTTAATAGCTTATTGTTTCCATTTTGTCAAAGTTAAAATTAATTTTATCATTTTTAGAGAATTTAAGAAGAGTTCAACGATTAGTCTAGTGCATAAAATCTGAAATTTGTTTAACAATAACTTTTTCAATTTGAGTTTAAATTGGTTATTAAGTAATGTAGTGTTAAAAATAAAGAATTTTTTTCTTTGGCTACCTCTGGATTAGTCTACAGAAGATAGTATTTGGTGTGGTTTTTAAAGAAAATATGGTAAATGGTCCTTCTGTTAATTCTACTTAGTTAAATATATTTCATTAAATCGCTAGTTGAATGGAACTATGAGTTAAAAAAAGAGAACTAACATGAATTAAAAATACATAATAAATAATAATACATAATAAAATAACAAAACATAAGTAATACAACTGCAACACTTACGAAAATATTTTTTATCTTTAATATATTTTAACTCAGAATCAGGGAGTTAATAAAAGATATTTCAAAAAAAAAAAAACAAGGTTTTGCTTTTTTATTGCAAATATTTTGGTAATGATAATGAAAGCTATAGAAGGTTAACAAGCTATTGTTGGCTTATCAACAACAAACTATTGTTGGCTTGTCAAGATCAACAACAGTTCACTCAAATTTCACAACAGTTCACTCAAATTTCATTCTTTAGACAAAATTTAAATTTTTTTATAAGAATTTAGGTTCTGTGGATAATGAACACAAAAAAAGTTCTATCAGGAAATATGTAAGACATAAAATTGTTACCATGGCAGATGGAACCTGAATATGTTGACATATTCTTGTTGGACAATTGAAAAAGATCAAAATTTGCCAGATAGTAACTTCATAATAAAACTTATTTTAGATAGATAGGACCAGGAGCAAAGTTTGCTAGATAGTAACTTCATAATAAAACTTATTTTTGGTTTAAGCAAGCTCGTAATTTGTTTAAAATATTTTAAATTACTTAAGAGAATGAAATTTTTGGCTAAAAGATTTTTAATGTTTGTTTTTTTCTGCCTAATTACCTATAAAAGTAAAAATATCATGGGAGTCCATGTGACAAAGTTATAATTTTGTTTACTAGTTTTATTTCCTTTTTTAGACAATAAATCAAAAAAATGAAGAAATTCGTCATCTTAATGAAGTAGTACTTATAGAAAAATCTGAGCTTGCACAAGCAAATGAAGAAAAAATTAATTTAAAAAATGATTTTTATGAGGTAATTATATATTAACATATCACATATTTGTATAAATGTGTGTATATACATATACATATGTGTATGTATGTATATACATATACATACATATATATATATATATATATATATATATATATATATATATATATATATATATATATATATATATATATATATATATATATATATATACATACATACATACATACAGGCTTGGTCGGGAAGCGGGTGCGATCGCACTCGATAATTGACCACGGAGATAATATTTAGTTGCAAAAAGCCGGCCAGATTTTTAAGTCGTTTTGAGAATATTTCAAAAACAAACTAAAAATCGCAATAAGATTAACTTGACTGATGAAGAACAGTTTAAAAAAACGCGAAAAAATAAATATGATTAGAGCAAATATTTTTGAAACTTTTATAATTTTTATATAAAATTAAGTGACATTTTTTGTATAAAGTAACAACTTACTATTAATGATTGTTTAATTAGGAAACAAATGTTCTTCGATTTATCAAAGAGTATTTGCTTGCACAAATTGCTTTAAGAGATTACATTTGAATAAAATACACATACATAAAATTAAATGCACAAAAAACACATTCATAAAAATACATTACATTAAAAATACATTACATACATAAAAAATACATCCATTATATAAAAATAAGAATATACTAATAAAACCTATAATATATTTACAAAACGTCGACAAGTTAAAAAAGATAAATTTAAAACATTTATTTTGTAAACAAATAATCTTAGTTTAAAACATTTATAGCTTATTTCTGTGGTCAGTTATCGAGTGCGATTGCACCCGCTTCCCAACCAAGCCTATATATATATATATATATATATATATATATATATATATATATATATATATATATATATATATATATATATATATATATATATATATATATACATATATATACATATATATACATATATATACATATATATACATATATATACATATATATACATATATATACATATATATACATATATATACATATATATACATATATATATATATACATATATATATATATACATATATATACATATATATACATATATATACATATATATACATATATATACATATATATACATATATATATATACATATATATATATATAATATATATATATATATATATATATATATATATTTAGTTTAAAAAAAGCTCTACAATCTTCATAGATTTTGATTTAAATATTTTTTATCATCTAGACAATGAAACAAAAGAATGAGAACATACAACATCTAAATGAAATTATTTTAATAGATAAATCAGAGCTTTCAAAAACCATAGAAGAAAGAACTGCTCTAAAAAACAAGTTGTACGAAGTAAGTTTGAACTTACATACTATAAATTGAATTGAAAAAGGTTTGATAAATAATATTTTATATAAACTTGTACATGTGAGATTGCTATAGAATGTACAAAACAAATTTAAAATAATCTATTTAGATGAAAAATTAAAAAGTTTTAACTAAAAAGTTAAATTATATTTGTAAACTGTTTGTGTATCATTTATTTGTTAGATTTTTGTATGTTGAATAAATAAATTAAAAACTAACATTTATTTTTATAAGATTTATAATATTTATTGTTTTATATGGACTGTAGACATTTTTTGTATTTAACTTTTTTTTTTTTACAATTATTTTTTCATATTAAACCTTAATTATATATTAAATGTGTATAATTTTTTTTGCTATTATTTAATTAGTTTATTAAATTGTTGTTTGTTTTTCTTTAAGTAAATTTTAATTACATATAAATTTTGGTAGTATGAAAAACAAATGAAATCAGCTGCAATAGAGTTACTTGAAGAATGCTCCAAAATGAGAATTATAGCTGGATCACCCCCATCAACTAAGCAAAAGTAAATTTTTAGAATATTATTGTATTCTGTTCCATTTTCTTGAATGAAGTTAATCTTTTTTAAGCAAACTTTGTAATCTATACTTTATATGTATGTATGCATATGTATGTATGTATGTATGTATGTATGTATGTATGTATGTATGTATGTATGTATGTATGTATGTTTGTATGTACACACTAAATAAAGTTAGAAATTTACAATTTATGGTAATCACATATCATACCCCTTAGTTTCTACCTTTTTATTTTTAGTGTATATGGCATATATATATATATATATATATATATATATATATATATATATATATATATATATATATATATATATATATATATATATATATATATATATATATATATATATATATATATATATTAGGGTGCCTCTAAAAACAACTTTTTTTTGAAATTGTCTGCTGCCACCCCCTAAATATGTTCTAGGTAATAAATTATTACTAAATTTAAAAAAATTTTGAATATAAAAAAAATTTTAAGAGTTGCTCAAGACATATTTTGAAAAAAAAAGTTTTTCAAAAGCATATCATGTTGGGTCTCAAAAGAAGTGAAATTTTATAAAAAATTTCAAAAATGATAAAAAAAATTTATATATATATATATATATATATATATATATATATATATATATATATATATATATATATATATATATATATATATATATATATATATATATATATATATATATATATACTACTTTGTACTGAACCAGCTATCTGCAGGGGCTTTAGTTTATACATTTGTCAGCTGATGTATATATTGAGTAAAAAAGATTTTTCATTCTTACATTTTATATTTTAGAAATTTTGAATATTCAAAAGATCAAAGTTCTTTAAGTGAAGCAATGGTATGATTTTAGTTTTATTTAAGCATCTATATTCTTAGTTATTAACACAAGCCTTCTTAATTATTAACACACGCCTTTTTAATTTATTTACATGTTTATTTATAATAAGTTATTATATACTTATGTTAGGTTATTCTTTAGATGCTACTGCATACCCTAGCCTAAATTCTCAGAAAATATGTACTGAAGCTCTCACAGATAGTTACTTCAGTGTTGTCATTAATCATGTTTTACGGGCATCTAAACCTAAATTAATTATTATATAGTTTTAGTTTTTAGTTTTATTAAAATATATTTACAAAATCATATATGTGTTTTAAATAGTCTCTTCAGAACAAATTATTGATGCTTTTGTGAACAGATTAATGATATTATTAAGTTTGATGTTTATCTTTTATCACTATTTTTGTAAAATTAACATCACAGTTATGTTTTTATAAACTTACCATTACCTTTTTTGGACTTCATTAGATTTCATTCACAGCTCTTAAATGTTTTGTTAATAAAAAAAATAAAGGCAAATGCATATGGGCAAATTTTTTCTTTTAAAAAAATTGCTGTTTTATTAAGATAATAGTAATGTTTTATTAAGAGATTATTATTTATATATCATTATTTATTTATTTTAATGATAAATATGACAGAATAAAAGCTTTATTTGGCAGTGATGGCAGAATAAAAACTATGCCATTTGTTATTTAATTTTTTTAATTAGTTGTTTAGAATTTTTGAATTTTTTTTTTATATAATCTTTTTTTAATTTTAGATTTTTAGTTTTTATTAATTTTTTTTTTTTTTAACAGAATAACAGAACTGCTTTTTGTTAAATATTCTTATAGGACTTTAACTGTATGTTTCAGATCGTTGTCTTGTTGGAAAACTAATCTTTTACCAACAAGTTCTATTCCGCAGTCCAAAATATGCAAATAGACCTATTTTATAATTTTTTTAATGCGTTTTTACAAGTTTATTATTTGGCAACCTCCAAAACAACCCCAAACCATAATGTTGCCACCCATGTGTGTAACCTTTTACAGCATCTTTTCTCTAAGTCAATGACACAGCATCTTTTCTCCAAATCAATGACAAACAAAGGGCTAATGTTTATTGCAGAAAATTTCAAACATGGATTCATCTGACTAAAGAATATTATTCCAGTCATTTGGTGTCCAATTTTTGTGTTCTTTGGTCTAATTTAATTGTTTCTGTTTATGAACTTGGGTCAGACAAGTTTTCTAGGTGTTGGTCTTAGATCTCTGAGATCAACACCTAGCAAATGTTGTTTAACCAATGTAAAGCTAATTTTTGTTACATGGTGTTTATTGAAATTAGTGGAGATTTCTGGTGCTGACCAAATTAGATTAATAATAATTCAATTCAAATTCTGATTTATTTAGCCATCTATTCTTACTTTCTATTTACTTTAATTATTTAAATAATTTTTTTTTGTTTAATCTATTTTTTTTATTTGTGCTGACAGTTTCACATGAAACTTTATGTACCATTCTTCCTTTCTTTTGGTGGACAAGGTCTTCCAGATTGTTTGTGGCCGTGAAACGATTTATTTTTAAATTGCTTCTGAACTATTTCTTTCTACTTTTTTGATTTTGAGGAAAAAGTGAGGAAAACTAGTTCTGATCAAGGAAACTTTAGACAAGGAAACTTTAGACTTTATAACACTGCAATGACATACTTGCAGTTACTTATAAGATTACTTATAATTTTATGTTACAGTGTTGAAGAAATAACTCAGAAATTATCTTGATTTGCCACAAGTTCGATCCCCACCACATCCTTGGTAGTACCACGCTCAACTTTTTTATCCTCAGCCTTCTTGACTTCATGGCTCTTGAAACAAAAGTTCCTGTAAATATACAGATGTTTCCTAAGAGAAACTCAATTGGTTTTTTCTGCTAAAAAACGGAATTTTGCTGCAAATCCAGCTGCGGGATAATTTTCATAAATAAATGGATAATTCTGTTTTAGCTCCATAAGGTTTTTTTTGGTTAAACAATTGGATCATTCTCTGCCAGTTTCTGTAAATAAAAGGTTTTAATTAATATTCCAATAATTTGAAAATGTTTATTTTCAACTATTATTTTTTAATAACATACAATCCATGAAAAATGGATTGTGTGTAATCAAAAACATTATTTTAAAATGATGCAAGACACGTACTAGTGCCTTTTCTGACAATTGATGCTTGAGTGGGGGACATGTACTAATACATTTTCTGAAGTTTGTTACTTGAGCGCTTTGTTTTGCTAGAGGTTTATTTTTTCTGTATTTCATCTGTATTTTAGTGTTTAAAAAAATAAGTTTAAATTTAACCTTTTATTTATCCTTGCGAAGTTGATGGAAACTCTACCTGCAAGCAATGTGTTAAATAAGAAAAATTTCAATTTAATTACATTAAATGGGTATTTTCCGTGCAAATAATGGAGAATAATTCTTTAAAAGTACAGAATTTTTTAACAGTGTAAACTTGCATTTTAAATTCCATTGCATTAAATGTAAAAAAAACCCACAGCAGTATAGCTTACCTGGTGCAATTAATATAGTGTAAAAAGGAAGGTAGATCACCTAGAAATAAATGACACAAAAAGGCTTTAAATTGATGGTGTGCATGCATTTTTTGAGTACTAACTTTCAAAATGTTCCTAATATTATCAATATATATATATATATATATATATATATATATATATATATATATATATATATATATATATATATATATATATATATATATATATAGTATATATATATATATAGTATATAAGTATATATATATATAAAGTATATCATGTTGGATCTTAAAAGAAACAAAATTGTTTAAAAAAAAGTTTTAACAAAAAAATTTTAACATAAAATAAAATGACTTTTAAGGTTTCTTAAAATGATTTTTATTTGAAATTTTCTCACCTTTAATTTTCACTAATTTTTTGCAAATAAAGTAGTGTTGTTTTTGATTACATATCTTGCATTATATAAGCGCAAACAGCTCTAATCAAATTCAATAATAATTTGAACATATCAATCTTGAAACACTGTTCATAATAGTCATGGACATAAACCAATAAAATATAAGAACTGTTGAAACAATGTTTCACACTAAATATAGACTTAACAAAAATTAATAAAACTTAATAAAAAAACTTAATAAAAAAAACATTTAATATTTCTTATTTCTGTAATCATTTTTACCATATATTCTATTTTTTTGTTATTGTTGTTATTATTGTTATTATTAATATTATTATTATCAAAATAAATATAATTTTTAATTTGGTATTTACTTTAGATTAATACATGTATCAAATGAAAAAATCCATTGATTTTACTAGCTATTTCAAAAATATATATTAATTTATTATTTTTAATTAAATAAAACTTTTAATAAACTTTTGAGGTTAATTTCAACCTCAAAAGTTTATTAAAAGTTTTTTTGTTTTTTTTTAATATATTAAATTTTGATGAAAGACAAACTTAAAAAGAAATGACAAAAAAATGGAAATATTTTTTATATAAAGAAAGAAAATTTTTGTTTATTATTTATTAATTTTTTTTTTTTTTTTTCTATACTTTATTAAGGCTAATTTTTGTTAAGTCTATATTTTGTGTCATCTCAATGTAGATTGAGAAAACAAGTAAGAGAAAATAATTTAACTTTATTTATTACTGCTAGTGAAATATTTAAGCTTTTTAAAATTATGTTTAAGCATAATTAATTGTTTTAAATTGTTTCATAAATAATTGTTTTTAATTGCTTCAGTACCATATAAAATTTGTATTTTTATTTATTTTACTTTATTATTTCTTTTATTTTTATTATTCGTGCTGCAATTGTTGATTACAAAAACACAATGCAACATAATATGATTATTGTTTAGGAGATAATCCATTTATTCAAAGTTTTGATTTAAATAATTTCCTCATGTTTTATAATTTATAGAAATTTTAAATTTTTAAATTAATTTTTAAACTACCTATAGTTCTATAAAATTATTAACATAAAAAAATGCTTATTTCAAATGATAAAACAAAATGAGATAATGATAAATATATCATGATGAAGTGAAAATGATTAACATAGCTCAAAATTTTTTATAAGAATAATCTCAGCAAGTATAGCACTATGTATGTAGTGTTAGCCATGTTTTATGCAATCAGTGTGCATAGCTTTCCTTGAGAGTCATACCAATGTTTGTTTAACAACTATTGTTTCTTTATTAATATTGTGTTGAATAATGTTTGAGTGTGTGTGTGTGTGTGTGTGTATGTGTGTGTATTTTTATATACACATATTTCTATAGTTGAACAGAATACATTAGTATTGTACAGACAAAAAGCCCAATATGTCTGCTATGATATTGTAAGGTTTGCAGAGCATTGATGCCTATTTTGGATTTTCTTTTAGAAAATCCAAAATACATTTTAAATATGTACACCTATATCATTATAGGTTAATATTATGTCTATTACATTGTAGGCTACTTTATCTTCTCAGCTAAAATATTTTTGTGGGTTTGTACAATCCTTACAACAAGAAAATGAATCATTAATGCAGGTTGTTTATTAGTTTTAAAATATTTTTTTTAGTTTTAAAGTTTTCTGAGTGATAGCTTTTAATATTGCTTTAATTGTTGTAATGTCACACAACATGCACATTAAATTAATCAATTACAATTGAATCGATAAATGTTAAAAGGGCGGAAGTCCAACTATGTAAACCTTCATGAAACTAAAAAAAACTGCATTTTACCTTGCAGTAAATTTTTGTTAATGGTTTAATAATTTTTTTCGTTTTTCAAAAAAAAGTTATTGAACCATTAACAAAAATTTACTACGGGGGGAAAATGTAGTTTTTTTTAGTTTCCTGAAAGTTTACATAGTTGGACTTCCGCCCCTTTAACATTCACCGATTCAATTATTATTGTTATGCTAATAAAATTATATATATATATATATATATATATATATATATATATATATATATATATATATATATATATATATATATATATATATATATATATATATATACATACTTACTATATTTACTAGAATAATGATGAGTTAGCTGTATGCGGCACATTGCCATCATCAGCAAAGTTACTACGTCATTTTCAACTGCGTTTGAAGATGATGAGGAAGGAGAATGAAGCATTGCGAGAGAGACACATTGATACAATGAATCAAGAGCATTTTTCTGTAAGTTTTTTATTTGATTTTTTTTTTTTTTTTTTTAATAAAGTTACTAGTTCAAAAAAAAAATAGAAATTAATTCTTAAGTAATGAAATAAGATGAATATATAGATAAATGTGATTAAAATAAAACAATATAATTGGTTGATTAGAATGCTGATGTTGTACTGCAAAATAAAGTTCAAGAACTTCAACATTGTTTACAGGTACATTTTTTTTTAATACATGTATACTAAATAGACAAAAATAGTAGAAGTTAAAAGGTTAAAAGAATTCAAAACCTTTTACCTCTTTTCTTTTGTACTTTATTTTTTTTTTTACAAATCTTTATTTTTCATTTCAGTAATTTTCATTTTAGGAAAAAGAGAAAGATATCAATCAGAAAACAGTCGATTTGATGAACATGCAAGTTGCTATTAGCAGGTTGGCAAAGGTTCGAAGATTTTATTTTTGCTTATGTAATATGATTATATATATATATATACAATATATATATATATATATATATATATATATATATATATATATATATATATATATATATATATATATATATATATATAGATAGATAGATAGATAGATAGATAGATAGATAGATAGATAGATAGATAGATAGATAGATAAATAGATAGATACATAGATATATATAGATAGATAACTAGATACATAGATAGGTACATAAATATAGATATATAGATAGATAAATATAATACAAAGAAAAAGTTTAAAGATAAATTTAAAATAATATAAAGTAGGATTAAGTTAAAATATTTCTGTCACAAGATTCTTAAGGTAAAAATGTAGTTAAATTACATTATATTTTTTATTCAAAAAAAAAGGAGAAAACAAAGCTGGAAAAAGCTCATGCAAAATTGCTAGCTGATTGGGACCAGAGTAAGTTTGTTTTTAAAAAAAGATTTTGAATTCTGACTCTTTTTTTTTAATGGAAATTTAACAGACCTTTTCCCCTGAATACATATACACTCTGGTATTTTTTGTGTTTTGTTTCACATTGATTTAATATTTCTTAAATGTTTTGTTATAAGTTTTTAAAACAAGTTTATTTGTTTTTTTTAGAAGGTCATATTAAGGAAGTACAGTTTGCCCCACCTTTACCATCAACACATGTAGTTGCCTTGGGACCTACTTACCCAGGTACAACAATAACTAAAACAATTGTACCCAGTGATTGCATTTCTTGGCATCGTCCTTTCCCTAACTATAATCCTGTGATGTATACTGCTGAAATTGTTTTGAAGAATCCAGAATGGGCTGATAAAGAAATTGGGTAGGTTTGTAAAAATTTATAGTTTTGGTAGATTTATAGTAATTTGGGTAGATTCATAAAAATAAGAAGGCGAGTTTGATATATTTTTTTTTTAGTATTTGTTGTACTTTTATAATTTCTGTGTCGATTTCTTATTGGTTAAATATTTTCTGCCCTGTTTTCCAAAGAACTATTTTCCCGTATATTGTTAAAATTAAAATTTTAACGATCTTTTTTTATTTTATTTAGAGGGGGTCAGTCACCAAAAATGTTGTTCAATTCAATGGATGGTAAAGTTAACAGAAAAAGTCATATGGGCCATTATGCTGTGGTAGATGGTTATCCAAGGTATAGTTTAGAAGGGGTTTTGTTTTTTGTTTGCTTGTTTTTTTGCTTAAATTTATTTTTAAATTAATAAAGTTTTATCTTTTTTTTAATTTTTTAAGATATTATTTATTCTAACAACTATTATTTATTATTGTTCTTTATAATTATAAATACTGTTTTATTTATCATTTAAGGCATCGTCTTTTTATTTCTAGTTTTCAGAATTTTCTTACTTTTTAATGTGTTACCAATTAATAAAAAATATCTTAGAAATCCTGTTGGAAGAACTGGAATGATTGGAAGAGGACTACTTGGTAGATGGGGTCCTAACCATGCTGCTGACCCAATACTTACAAGGTATTAATTGTTATTGCTAAATAATATTAAAAGATACTGTTATGGAATTTTTAGAATATTTTAAACATTTGCAAAGCTTAATAAAAATTTTCTGTGTTCTAAATATAGTGACATGAGTAATTTAATAAATTAATTTGTTATTAATTTATTTTATGTGTATTAAAAAGATGGGGAAGAAGCTCAAACGGCTCTATTGTCAAACATTGTGGGCGCCCTGTTCTAGAGTTTGTTGCAATTCAAAGAAAAGATTCTGGTCAATGGGCTATACCTGGGGTTGGTTTTTGATTATAATTCTATGTTTTAAATTATGATATTTATTAATAATCACTCCTAATGATTTTATTTTACACGTGTTTCTTTTTTTGTTTAGGGTATGGTTGATCCTGGGGAGAAAATTTCGGCAACACTTAGACGTGAATTTAGTGAGGAAGCTCTTGGATCCCTAGACATGACTGTTGAAGCTCAAGCATTACTGCGTGATAAGATTAAAGAGCTTTTTAAACACGGAACATTAGTATGTTTATTATTTTTAATCATTAAACATTAGTATTTCTATTGTTTTTATGCATGGAACATTAGAATATATGTTTTTTTTTAAAGAAAGGAACATGAGAATATCTGTTGTTTTTAAGAAAGGAACATTAAAATGTCTTTTGTTATCAATAAATTAATAACACTAGTCAATACATATTTTGTGACAGAAAAGTTAGTCTTGTTTCTGTATATTTTTAGGACGTCGAGTCAGAAACTTGTATTCATTTTACTTAATTGGTTTTAGTCTTTTTGTTTTTGTAATATGCTTTAATTATTCAATTTCTTTTCTCTTCTTTTTTTCTCTATTCATCGATGACTAAGTCTAAAGATCTTTAGATTTTGAAGTATGATATGCATAAGAGTTTGCAGAAATGTGTATAAAAAATAATGCAAAGTACATATGCAATATGATATAAATTACATATGAAAAATAAATTGTTGAAAAGTTTTCAAAAAATATTTTAAGTTTTATATATGATTGTTAGATAGATACCATTCTATGGGCATGAAATAGGCATGATTTTCATATTTGTATTTGAATAAATTTAAAGATTTATATAAATATCATACATCAATTCTATATGCAATCTTATAAAGAGAAAAACGTCGCTTTTTTTAATTAATGAGACTAATGCAGAAACAAGTTTGAAACAGGGATAAATAAACGTTAAATAACGTAGATTAAAAACTTTGCTATTATTTGACCAAAATACTTTCTTTTGAAAAGTCTGATTTTATGTGAGGTTTGAAAATTAAAATATATAATAGTATAAAAATATATAATAAATTTAATAAAGCTATAAAAGTAATAAAGATAAAGTGTGTGTTTGCTACCAATCTGCACCGTTTAACAAAAAACATATAAGCATTTTATAAAGGAACCTTTTGTTTAAAGAATCACCTAAACTTTTGTTCTATTACATAAAATGTTGTTATAGCCATTTCTGGTTTTTCACCGTTTCTAGTAGTTTCTTTCGTCACCGTAAAAAAATATTCTGTAAAATGAAAACTAGAGCTAATGGAAAAAAGTTAAATTATTTTAAAACAAGGCGTCCTCAAATTACCAAGTAAAAATTCTTAGCACTAAGACAAAAAATAAACTGTTTAGGACTGAGTAATAATTTTTTTTTTTTTTTTCATATTTTTACAATCTTTTATATTTTATTTGAATGCTGTTATTCTTTTTAATTTTTAGGTTTACAAAGGTTATGTTGACGATATTCGGAATACAGATAACGCTTGGATGGAAACTGTAGCTGTTAACTTTCATGACGATGATGGAAACAGTATTAGCCATCTACCTTTAAAAGCTGGTGATGACGCTAAAAATGTACAATGGATGAAAATAGATAAAAAGTTGGAATTATACGCCAATCATGCTGATTTTATACGTCAGACTTGTGAGATGCGTGGCGCGTATTTCTTTATCGAATAACAAAAATATTATTAGGTCTTTTAAAGAAATTTTTATCAAAACCACATTTTTATAAAAGGGCAAAATCAAATTAAATGATATTGTTTTGTAATTTAAGCCATGTTTTCTTAGCTTAAACGTGTTTTATTGCGCCAATTTTTGTGAATACTGTTGTAATTAGAGTCAGTTAGTAGAATCTTTTAATACGCTGGACTGGATCGGCATCTAAATAAATTATTTAAATTTTTCTACATATTATTCTGTTACAGTTTTAGTTTTAGTTCATTCACGAAAAAACTAAGATTAAATCTTTAAATGAATCCGTGGACTTTTTTTTATTACGCTCATGTGCAAATATAAAAAAGGCGAATCTTATTTATATTTCCATTTCTAGATGCAGTATGTTTTGTATGCATACGTGTGACTTTTTTTTATAGAAACATTAAGAAATTTTAGTGAAAATTTTTATTGTAATTTATAGATGTAAATTTTAAAATGTATATTGATGCTTTTATTTATTGTGTTTTATTAGTTAAAAATTTAATATATACACTCTTTATAAATAATATATTAACTAAGAATTTTTTAATAATAAAATGCATATAAACGATTCGTCAATTTATTAACTAATGATCCCCCTGATGATCGTTTTATTTCATATGTAAACATCGATTGTATCGCAAAGTATTGGCACATACTAAATCGATTATGTCAAAATAAAAGTTTTTTATTTCAGTCCCTATTGACATATTAGGGACTGGCTGATAAGACAAATCTGTCTTCTTGTCTTTGCCATATTTATATATTTCAATACACAAACTTGTAAATAATGTATGAACGGCTAAATAATTGAAAAAAAACATCGATGCTGTCTTCAGGCTTATACAATTTTATTAATTACGTCTATACGTTTAATATACTTAAGTACCCGGTTTTGAATTGCAAATTAATTTTTTGAAATTCATTATTTTCTATAACTCTCATCGCGTCTAACAGAACAGACTGTCTTGATTTTAACCAATTTTTTACTTTTTTGTTATTTATTACTATTATTTTTGTTATTTATTCGAACCAAACAAAATCGTATAGGGTCATATAGAACTTATAGATCAAGGCAGTTATTGCAAAAGCAAAAATAAAAAAATGTAGCGGTAATGTTTTTGACGGTTAGTAGTTCTGGTTTGAAATCAAAAAAAGGAATAATTTCGAAAATCGTAATCAAGAACAAGTTAAAAAGTATCATAATCCGAATAGAGTCAAAACCTAGCGTGATGGAATTATTTCGAAATTCAAAAAAAAAAAGAATTGGTTTGAAAGTACAAAAAGAGGAATAATTTTGAAAAGGCTAATTTTTTTGAGCAGCAACTGTACAAGTCTGATTCAAAATAAAAAGTAATATGTTCTTAATTTAAGCAAACCCTTTAGTAGGCTTTCAATATATATACTTTTTAATTATTCTCTCTGCCTGCCTCACACAAACCCTTTGTATCTATATATATATTCCACTACGCCTGTTTCTATTTTAGACATTCGATGAATAAACACTCCACTCCAAGCCTTATAGCAGCAATTTTAATATCCTTTTTAATTTTTTATTTTCATTTACATTTTCATCATTTTTCCGTAAACAGTTTTTCGAAAAAAATCTTAAAATTCCATTTCGAAACAAATGTTTTTCGAAATTATTCCTTTTGTTGCAGTTTCTAAACATCTGCTGAAATATCATTTTAATAGATTTCTTTTCAAAACTACTTTTTTTTAATAAAGGTTTCAAAAAATGTTTGCTTAAAGTTTTTAACAAATTGCGAGGTTAGAACTATTTTGTTTTATCTCCGCTTTTAGAAAAAAATCGAGTTATTGATTGTGACATGTACCTCAAAATAATGTTTTTCTACTATATTAAATTTAAGTTAAAATCAAATGAGTTTCGGAGAAAACATATGTAATAAGAATCTTTTTATATGCGTCTCCTTCAGTTTTTATTTTTCAAATCGTTTTATCTCAAAATAAAAAAAATGTAGAGATAGAACAAAATAATTCTAACCTCGCAAAATGTTTAAATCAAGATAAATGCAGTTTTGCTTTGAGCTATTATTAATGTAAAAATCATTGGAAACAAAAGAAACACCAATCGTGAAAATTACATATCACTAGTATCCCAACTTTGATGTTGCAAACCAATTGTATCCCGATTCTATAAACCTTGTAACCCGGACTGAATAACATTTTTGTAAATATAAAAGTATAGTCTTGAAGGGTATGAATTTAGAAAACAATTTCACGTTGCAACCATGATAAAAATTTTTTTTAGTCCCCGTCAAAAATAAACTTACCCCGGGTAAGTTAGCGAACTTTAAAGGTGAGTTAGCGCAAAATATAAATATGATAACCTTAAAACAGTATCATATTTATATGTTACTTATCTTAAATATTTATATTTTATTTATCATAATACTTGGAACAATTTTCAACTTTGAACAAATTTAGGGCTTAGTGAAGAAGTTATTATTTTGAACAAAAAATGTGAAAAAATGAGCCTCTTATAATTAAAAAAATAAAAAGTACTTGTACTAAGTAACGCCACTACAAGGTGTTACTTAGGACAATGGCTTAGTTCAAGTTTACGTAACTAAGTTCAAACAACCCATTCTATAGACAAGTCTATAACCCATTCTAGAGACAAGTAAGTCTATAGACTTACTTGTCTCAATCAAGATGCTTCAATAAAATTATGAAGCTTCTAGGGCAAGCGCACTAACCACTAGGGTTGCTCAAGTTAGTCGAGTTAGTATACTAATATATGTTCATAATTTTATTGAAGCATCTTGATTGAGACAAGTAAGTCTATAGACTTACTTGTCTCTAGAATGGGTTATAGTCTATAGAATGTCTATAGAATGTCTATATAATTATAACAACAACGAGGAAGGAGGCACTCTTTTCAAATACTCTTCCGCGGTTCTCCGTGACAAGACCGTAAGGACTTCTTGGGGTGCTTAAAATAAAATTAAAAAAATAAAATAAAAATAAAAGTATAATAGAATGAACCATTTCTAATAAATATTTATTTAAAAAAAGGAATAATATAATAACATTTAATACATTTTAACGGAAATTAAGCTTGTAGCAAATAGTTTGTATAAGAAGCCAAAACAGTAACTCACTTTTTTTCTATGTAAAAAGAAGCCTTAATTTTTCAAATTTTTTAATAAAAAATAATATTTCTCAATATTGTGAAACCACGTTTTTGTCCAAAAACTACATAAGTTACAATGATCTCTTATGTGAATCCGCAAATGTTTACAATACTACTTTGAAATATGAAATGGTAATCCATGTAATTTCAGGCCTTTTCAGATAAAAAGGTCTAAAAATAAACACAGTTCATTTACTTACCTTTGGTACTATCTTTGGTCTCCCATACCATGGACCAATAAATATAATATATAGACCAATTAACTTTCACTGTCTCTACTTTTCTGGTCAACTTTAGATTCTTTAATTTACTCTTACTTTCAGGGCCTTCAAAAGATAAAATATCAAAACGTTATTAATTGTTGAAATTAGGAAAAAATGTTATTGTTTTCTCATCTTTTTTTTAAAGCCTATTTCTCTTTCTGTAAAACGTTCTTTCCGGATATTTTAATCTTTTTATGGCTCTTATTACATCAATTAAGGATTCAAGTTTCAATTATTTTCAAAATGTGGTGAATACACTGTAACTTTTCCATTAAAATTGTTTTTAATAATTAAGAATTTTATAATTAAATTATAACAAGAACACTATTTTTTATTTAACTAAAGTTTGCTAAGTTTTATATCACTGCGTAGTTTTTGGTGAAGGTTCTTACACTTTTCTTTACTTTAATTTCTGTGAAGGTGTTCTTTCACTTTCGAAATTTATTTACTTTCGGTGAAGGTGTTCTTACACTTTCGAAATTACTTGCTTTTGACATCAATTTCCACGCAATGTTCTCTTAACTTTTATGATATTTTTTGTCATGTTTCTTACTTTTTTTAATTTCAACAAAAATGAACTTCTAAACTATTAATTAGAATTATAATTAGTTAAAAAAATAAAGAAAAAATTAATTTAGGACAACAAACCACTTCGTTAATGAAAATGCAGTTAAATAAAAAATTAATCATCTATACTATTAAAATGAAACACCGATAAAATAAATACAAATAGCTTTTTATTCCTATCTGGAGTATTAAAAATGATTGACCTTCATAATAAAAATTAGGTTTTTGAGAAGCTAATTGGTTTAAAAACCTGAAAAAGAAAAAAGAATGTGTTACAAGAAAACTTGCTACTGAGGAAACTGATAGAACTATACTGAGGAAACTGATAGAACTATGTTCAACCCTCCTTCTTCAACCTTATCAACAACTTTTGTACCTTAAATTCAGATGTTTAATATAAAGACTAGAAAGATAAATTAATTGTTAAAAAAATTATGTTTAAATCAATACTAACAATTCATATAACTATTAACAAATCTTTTTTTCTTCTTGATTTTTTACCATCATTTACAGTTTTATAGTAATTACATTTCATTACGTTATCATTACACGACATGTTAATGAGAGGTGTCAGAAAGTTTGTTTAACGTCCAAATAAATGTCTTCCCACCAAGGAGATATCTCCAAACTTCTATGCACGGAATAAAAAAAATCTCTCGCTGTTCATAAATAAGGGTCTTAAACAGTTCATGGTAATTTTATTTGATTGCCCCAAATTTTTTTTTAATGAATTTGAAGCTCGTTAATGAACTTTTATTTAATTTAAAATAGTATTTTTGTTGTTTTTGTTTTTGTTGTTTATTGCTCTTCACAAATGGATTAGGGTTGCAATAAAACGGCATATATGTAACCAGGCGTGTCTACCAATAGAAAAACAAGAAAACATTGTACGGGGAAAACGATTTCTCTTGAGAAAATTGTTTTTTTTAAACACCGTTCAAATACTGTCGTTAAGCTACTTCTTGTTTTGACGTAATACTTAACTAAATTTTTGTAAACATATATTTAAAAGGGAAAAAGTTAAACTACGTTGTAAAAAGATTCACTTTAATATCTTTATTATTCCAATATCCCAATTTTTACGTGTTTTAAAAATATGATTTTAAATATTATTTAAATTTCATGCAGCCATACTAAGTAATTTTGTATACATTTGAATGAATAAATAAAATGGGTTCCACAAGAACTGAAGCAGAAGGTACAAAAAACTGTAAAACTGAAGATGAAAGAAAAGATAACTCTAGCTTTGAGTGCAATATATGTCTTGATATTGCTCAAGATCCTGTTGTTAGCATGTGCGGACATTTATTTTGGTAAGTTTTTATTTCAATATTTATTGCTCTGTTTTGACATTCATAAATTATTTTGTTTTGTTTATTTATAATTAAGTTTAAAAACTAAATTTATCATCTGTTATTATTGTTTAGTACCATTAAAACTATTTGATACTTTGTGCTAATTTTTTTTCTACCATTATATTCTTTTAGCCATTTTGACTTGTTTAAATATCAATTTATTACATTTAATTTTTTTTATTATGTTAAATCTAATAATTTTCATTTTTGCACTCTATTTTTTTATGTTTAATTTTTATGTTTATGTAAAAAAAAAAAAAAAAAAAAAAAAAAAAAAAAAAAAGTTTATTACTAATATTAGCGTTTTTGTTAGAAATTATTTCAATATTGAATTGTTATTTTCCGTTCCATGTTTTGATTTGAACTTTTAATGAGTATGGATTTTTCTTTTTTCAACACTGCAGAAAAGTAATTAATGCTAATAATTTACAAAATATATTTTTCATATATTTACATGAAAGTTATGTATAATATATAGATTATATGAAAAGTAATTAATGCTATTAATTTACAAAATATATATTTCATATATTTATATATTTATATTTCATATATTTATATTATGTTTATTATACTCATACTTTGATTCTAAAGTGTAACATACAGTTTTGAGTTAATATTGTATATAGTCTTGTTGTATATTAGGCTGGCATCTATTGCTTAAAAATCTTTCAAAAAATAGACGGTCGTTATACACATTAGATACTAATTAAAAAAAAAAAAATTTTAATAAGTATCTAATGTGTATAAAGAGCTAAATAAACTGATTGCAAAACAAAAAGTTTCCAGATTTTTACTGCCCTAAGAAACAAGTAATTAAGGTAAAAGTTTTGCTGTATATAGAAATCATCGTATATAGTTTTATAGGTATATTTTCTAATAACTAAAAATAGATTTCTTCTTTTCTTTTGTTATGCCCATATAATTAATGTTTTTAATTTTAAATTGAGTGTATGTTATGCTTCAAAGGTTGACTGTAATCAAAACAAAGATATTATTATTAACCTAATTTCACTGCTGAAAATGTTTATTTCACATTTCGATGTCAGAAACTATAAACATTCCAAGTAATTTGTGCAAAGAAAAAAAGTTCAATTCATAATTTTACATAATCTATATACATTCTATATTACTATCATTATTAAACTCAGAGTCAAATATTTCTTCTGACTGTTTTTCATCCTAATCTCAATGGTTATCACTTTGATTGATATTTGCAAAGACCTGTGCAAATTATATCAGCTTTATTAGAAGAAAAATTTTTCATGAAATAGTTATATGAATAATAATAAAGGGTTAGTCTCTGCTATATGTGATTGCTTTTTGATAAAGTTTCAAAATTAGGTTATTTTATGTGTTGCACTTGCAAATTTTTATTTACTTGTAATGTTTTCTGTCTAAATTTACCAGATATAAATCACCTGTAACAAGCTGAATTAACTGATTCTTTTTGTTTATTGTTTTATTTTTCCAACATATTGTCATATTTATCAGTTCATCAGAGATGACCAAAAAAATAAAAATATCTTGTTCAAAATTTTTCAATTCCTCGAATAAATTTGACATAGAAATAAGCTAATCTGGACATTTATAGAGTTCAGTAAGTAAAATCTTTCAGATTCATCAAAAGCTTGTAATAAATTGCTGGTGATGGTGGATTCAAAAGAAAACAACTATTCTCAATAAAAACTTTGAAACTTTTAAAATAAGATCACTCCTTCAAAAAATACTATAAAAGCTTTATACAGAGCCGTAAACGGAAGGAAACTAGTACAACCAGAATCTGGTAATGTTCTTATTTTAAAATTTTTTTTACTTAGAGTGAGGACAAAATATTAAGGTGAGGATAAAGTATCAAACTTATATAATTTCTAGATAGTTAAATATTTAATAAGTGACACTTTCAATATTGTTAATTAAAAAATTAAAAGTTTTTTGGAAAAAGTTGTGTCATAGTCCAAAAGTTGCAGGCAGAGTTATTGCTAAAATTGTAAGCAAATATAATATAAATATTATGATTAGGTCATGAAAAAATAATTGGCTAAATGTACAAGTTGCATATTTTAGTAGCAAATAAAATTAAAAAAAAAAAATTATGAAATTTTGCAGAAATTGCAGCCAGTCACCGATACAGTTTCTAAGTAACTACTACAGTCCTAATGTTGTTTTTCTTACTTTAATATGAAAATTAAATTTACTTACAATTTATATTTATGCATACATAGCATATTTTTTCATACATTTTTAATAACACAGTTATTTAAATCTAACAAGGTCCAATAAATAATTTTTAAATTATAAACAGAAAGATAAGTTATATTTAAAGTATATATAAATTTTATTAATTTAACTCATTATGTTATATCTAAAATATGTATAAATTTTATTGTCTTAACTCTTTATTTGCTATACCTAAAATATATATTTTTTTTAGTTGGCCATGTTTGCACAGAGTAAGTACATTATTTATTTATTATCTTAGTCTGAATATGTTAATGAGAGTAAATTAAACACAAGCATCATGAACTCTACTATTAGACTTGACGTTAAACACAAACATAACTCTATTAATAGACTTGATGTTAAATAAAGCATTTTGAACTCTATTACATCATTTTAATTTTAAATAGAGTAGTAATTTATATATATCTATATATATATATATATATCTATTATGAGATGACAATTATGGTTGTCAAAAAGGACATATGCGATCAGAATGAGATAGATATTAGAATAATACACACAAATGTATGTAATAGCTTTTAGGTATAAAATTTACAATAATATTTAAGTTAAAATTTAAAAAAAGTCTTGTTTAAACTATTTAAATATTTTCATATATAAACTCATAAAAGAATATATTTATATTCATAATCTTAAGAAAGTATTTATTTCCATGTATAATCTTATGATAAAATTTATGAAAATATATTTAAAAAAGGGAGTATATAAGAGGTTCACATACTATTAAAACAAGATTAAGAAATGATTAATATTTTTCGCATATGTGCTTTATGATCTTCACTTTTAATTTTATTTTAATATAAGTGCAGATCTTTACTTGTTAAATGTTGTTATACTCAAGTAAAGTTATCTCATAGTTTTCTAGATAACCATTCTTTGACTTTTTTTCTATTAGTTTTTTTCTATTATTCAATAGTTTTCTTTTTGGCAATCAAAAAATATGCTAACTAACAGTAATTATTTTTGAGTTTACAATTTTTGTTATAAAGTGGATAGAAACACGTCCTGCTCGCCCAATGTGCCCTGTATGCAAAGCTGCTATTAGTAAAGACAAGGTAATTCCTATCTATGGCAAAGACAATCCTAGCCAAACTGATCCCCGGTAAGCTGTTAAAATTAATTTTTTTTTTATTCTCCAAAAAGTATTTTATACAATCTTTGTTTACTTTTTATTGGTTATCTATTCAATTGTTTACTAATTATTGGTTATCTATTCTATTGTATTTGAGAATTGTAATAAAAAAAAGTGACAAATTTTGATAAATAGTATAAACTTTGTATAAAGAATAAAGGTATGCAGAGAATCAGTACATACATTTGCTGAAGGCTATGGATTGAGAAGGCAGTATCTATGTATAAAGAAGATCTATTATAACATTTATGTTATTTATTACTAAACTTGCTTAATATAATAAAGCAGAGTATATATTGTAGTAGAAAGTAATTATTTTGATAAATGCAATATTTATCAAATCATTTTTTTAATTTGTAACTCTTCAATTTTTTTATGTTAAAAGGTGTTTTAGAATTCTTTTATAATGGATATATGTTATTTTGATGCTGTTAAAAATGACAAATCCCAATACTCAACATGGCTTGTTGAAATCATTTATGTTAAGGTTAATGCTAAGGTTGCATCTCTTTATCGAGCTCATCACTTTTTTGCTCCAGATTCTATTCTTTATCTCGCAAAATCTGTTCTTGTATGGAATACTGTGGGTCAAGGTAACAACATCCATTTTTGCTGTCTAATAAACATCTGTCCAACAACATCCGAAATTTTATAGATCTATAATAACATCTGTGTAACAACACCTCAAATTTCATTAATGTATAATAACATCTGTTCAACAACATCTGAAATTTCATTGATGTATAATAACATTCGTGCAACTACATCTGTAGATTTTTTGGATGTAACTACATCCGAAAAAAATATTTTTTAATAATGCATTATTTAAACCAGATGTAGTTACACATCTGATTTTTTTTTGTTGTAACTACATCTGCCAAAAAAAAATTATTATAATGTTAATTATTATAATTTTAAGCATAGTAAAATTTTTTTTTTAATTATTTGATACTGCCCAAACCAAACACTCAGTCAATGTAGCAGCACTCTGTTGTGAATCAGGCTATTTGTCAGTCGACGTAGCAGCACTCCATTGAGAGTCAGGCTATTTGTCAGTCGATATAGCAGCACTTATATAATATAATAATTATATATGTAATTACTTGTAGAATTTTTTTTTTAAATAATGCATTACTTTAACCAGATGTAGTTACACATCTGATTTTTTTCTGACTACATTCGGGAAAAAAATAATTTAAAAATATATTATTTTAACCAGATGTAATTACACATCTGATTTTTTTTGGATGTAACTACGTCCATAAATTTATTTTGTTTAATAATGCATTATTTTAGGTGGATGTAGTTACACATCGAGAATAACTCCCGGATGTAGTTACATCTTTCTAAAGATGTTATTAGACATTTCTAAAGATGTTATTAGACAATGAAATTTGGGATGTTGTTGGACAGATGTTAATTCAGTAAAGAAAGCAGATGCCACCTAACAAAATTCATTCTTGTGTTACTCGTTATTTAAATAAGTCTCATCCTTTTACTGTGGCTGTTACTAAGTTTACATAATTTGCAATCTTTTAAGTTGTCTGTTAATTGTTATCTTCCTATATAATCTTCATCTTTTCTCTTCCAGTAACTTCCAACTTTAATAGTAGTTGCTTGCAGCCTAATTCAAAGTGAAGATGTTTTAAATAAAAATTGAAAGAAAAAAATGTTTTCTATTTTAACTTTGTTGAGGAAAGTATTTGTATATTTTTGTAGTGAAAAGCTACCCCCTCGTCCGCAAGGGCAAAGAACTGAACCTGAAAACAGCTACAATGTAAGTATTGAGGCTAAAAATCTAGATAAATTTTTTTTTCGTGTTTTTTTTTAACTTTTAAAATTATTTTAACAGTTTTTAATATGTTATTACTTATTCTGGTATAAATCATAAGCGTAATTTACTTTTTCAATCAGCCATTCAATAATTTCACTAACTTTGGCGGTTTTAATGCACATAATGGTGGAGGCTTGCAATTTTCATTTGGTATTGGTGCATTTCCATTTACATTATTTTCAGGAGTAAGTTTATTGATAAATTGTTTCATTAACTGTTTTTATTGTTTCTTTATTGTTTAATATATATACAAAACTTTTTTTAACTCCTTAACTGTGGCAAGCTACAATTGTGACTTTTCCTTTGAAGTGCAGTGAGGCATGATCGTAGCTTTTAAAACTGATCTTTAAAGTTATGACCTTTATTGCAAAAATATCAGATTTAGTAAAATATAAATGTTATCACTGAGTAGTGCATATTCTTTTCTTTCTTTTGATATGTTATTTGTATATGTTTTTCTGTGCAAATGAGTGATAACAAAGACACCTAAATGTATGACAAAAAAACTCTATTAGCAAAGAAAATATTAGTTGAAGTAATGAAAGATTTTTTGATGAAGGCACAATTTTATTTATATCATAGTTATATTATTTATATAATAGTTATATTTAACTGGTTAAATATAATTTATAATATATAGTTTATAATGTAGTTTAAAAAACTGTGTGGCTGGCCACAATAGCCCAATTTACACATCCTGGCTGTTTCTATCTTAAGTATCATTCATTATTTATACATTGAAGGCTTAAATTTTTTGATTATAATTTTTGTAGATGTTATAAAATAAAAAATGGTATAGAAATCTCAAAAAAAAAATTTTTGTTTTCGTTTTTTTGTTGTTGAATTTTTCTAAACATCTTTTAATTTTATCAAGCAGCTAAAGGGTTAACTTCCTCTTTTAAAATAAATTGATTTTATAGGTCTAATGATTTTCTAATTTTATCACATTAACAAATTAATGCCACTTGATTTAAACTAAAAACCATGGTGTTTGATAGATCTTGCAAAGGTCTTCAAAAATCCCACTCATTAGCAAGTTTTGTGTAAATTCTGGATTATTTTAATTAGTATTTATTAAGTTTAACACAAAGTTTGTTTTGAAACACTGATAAAGTAAAAGTGTTTAAATTAGTCTCACAATCCTATATGATATGTGAACTTTACAAGTGATTTGGTGATTGAAAAATAACTTAAAAGGTCACAAATATTTGTAAGAGATGTGACGCTGGTTTGGTTTAATAAACTCAGAATTGTGACAATGGTTGACTTAAGCCGGAGCAGATGCAGGATTTAATGTTTTAATAATGACATTTTCTGGCATTTTCAAAACTCCAAAACTAAATATGTTCATGTTTATGTCAAATAAAAATGTTTTGTAAAAAATTGCTGTGATTGGATCTTGAAAAAAAAAATATCCCAAAATGTTTGTAACTCCAACCCCAAATGTGAGGGTAATTAGTTTATAATATATTCTAATTTACTATATTACTGTAAGATTGGGTGGTTTTGGCCCATTTTGCACCTTAATGTCTATTGCATGAAAGCCACGAAAGTTATTTCCTCAAACACTAAGTACTTTTAGAAGTGCATAGAAAATTATTTACCTGAAGTGTCTTTTGGGTGGTTTAAATGGTAAACCAAAGTTGCCCTGTGTGTTAGGGTGACTTTGCCCCAACCAAGTAAAAAGGGATTAAAGGAAGCCAAACAACAATATTTAGGCAAAGAAAATAAATTTACAAAAAATAAAATGACAAAAAAAGATTTAGTTACAAAGTTCTTGTATACAGTAAATAAAATATAGGTAAAAACTAAACAAGTATCGGTACCGAACAAAACAGTTTGAAAGTGAACAAAACAGTTTGGGTATAAAGTAAAAAATGACAAAAATAAAGTTTTAAAAAATTAGTGAAAAAGTTCTGGAACTGAATAAATTCCTCTTTTCAAAATTTTCTTTGGTTCCTCAATAAAATCAACTATTTCAGACTGAGGAAAAAAAAGTTGCTTTGCTGGTAGTGACCATTTCCAGTTTAGTCCATTTTTGTTCATATTAGTAATTTTTGCTCCATTTTTTCTTAATTTTTTCAACAGCATAAAAAAAATTTCGAAAGTTTCTTTAAAATTATTCTGTAGTTATTACATTAAATAATTAGTTATTAAATTAATTAGTTATAAAGTTTACTAATTGATTAACTAAAAATAATTTAAAATAAACAAACCTGTCCAGAATTTAACTCTCTACAAGATTTAATAATTTTTTCTTTTTACAAACATTTTTTGTTTTATCAATATTTTAAAAGTTCCTTTTGTCTAATGCTGAATGATCTAAAGATGATTACTTACGACTTACATCCACAAAAATTAGATTAGAAGTCTCAGTAGTTCCAGTATTTGTACTTGGGCCAGCAAAGTCAATGGTGTTGGTCTCAATTGTATATATAATACTGATAGGTGTATCTACATTATTTGTATTTAATTTATTATTTTCATTTATAACATAAGATAATATATCTGTTAAACATAAGTTTTTACCTGGGGCAGCACATACCAGCTCTAAGGTTATCATTCCCATGTTCATTTAAGTTGGTAACTAAATGGTCTAAAAGTCTAAAAAATTTATCTTAAAGGTAGAGAAGCAACTCTCCTTCCTTTTCCTTTCTCATGGCTGTGTGAGATGTGTAGCGTTTGCTGCCAATAACATTGTAATAATATTTAAATTGCTACCAATAATAAGTAAATATAATATAATATAGTAATAATAATAAATATAATATAGTAATAATAGTAATTATGGTAAATAAATATAGTATAGTAATAATAATATTTAATTTGCTACCAATAACATTACCAATAACATTGGTAATGCTACAAATCCAATGTTATTGCTTTGACATGCATCCAGTACTGCAATGCCTTGAGCCCTCTTAAGTCTTGGAAGAAGTAAAAAGATAAACCAGTCCTCAAAACATGTTGAGTTAAACCAACCACTTTTTGATCTGTTATAATGTGTTTTTGGTGGCCCATGTTCATGTATTCCACAACGACTCAGCTTTGTAAACAATATAAGGTGGTAACAATTCACCATTAGCATTACCACAAAACATTACAGAGTATGAGGTCTTTGTAGAATTAATGATGCGTTTAGGATACTTACATCCACGTTAATTTTTTTTCTTTACCTGGATCATCACTGATATTGGTTTTGTCATAATTCCATATATTATCAGGTGATATATTACTTATTTCATTTGATAGATTTATAAAGTAGTTATCAATCACAGTTGTTCCTGTTTCTGTTCTCTTTTACTTTATGTTGCTTGCAAATCTTACTGTGAGTTCTGAATTTCTTTTTAAAAAAGATCGAATCCAATCACCACCTGGAAAATTATTTTTGAACTGAGGTATAATGACGCCTTTTTTCTCTAAATACCTTTTTACTATGCATCTTAAATCATATTTATCAACAGGAAAACCAGATGATTTTATTGCATATGCTTCAAACATGTCTTCTTCTTTTGATGTAAATGTTTGCTGACCACCATACTTTTTAGGATACGTCTGTTTTATTTTATTTTTTAATGTTGATCTTGGTATATCGTATTTCAAAGCTGCTTGTCTTTGAGTAATTAAACTATTCTTTAAATCTTTTAATGCATTGTCTAATTGTTCTAAAGTATAAGTAACATATTTTCTTCTTCCACGATTTGGCTTGTAATTTTGTGGCATATTTAAACTAAGAACTAAACAAATTTCACTATAATTTTATACTGATTTAGTAATACAAACTGTTATAGTGATTTTCTATTGCATTACGACTACAAAATTTATCATTCCAACATAGTAACTACCATAATATCTATAAATGATCACTAAAAAAGGTTTTCTCTAATACATGGGGTGACTTTAGCCCGGGTCAATATCACCCTATATAGTGGGCCAAAGACAAACTATTTTTTTTAACCTCAATTGCAAAAAAGTAATAAACTATTAAGCTTTCAAAGAAAGATAGAATCAAACACTAATGGTTTAAAATTTAGTGTATATTCCAGTAAACAACCTTCTCCAGATACTGCTATGGATGTAAAAGTTTACACACCTAAAAAAATTCGGACTTAAGGTGCTTCTTCTAAAGTGCAATTTACAATAATATCACAAACACTCAAGTTAAGTAAACTAACTAAATAAATAATAAATTTCCCACTATTTGTCACAAAACATTACCCGGCAAACCTTGAGGTATCGATTTTAAACCATTTTTAAATAAAAATTTTGCTTGGGCTAAAGTCATCCCCAAGGGCCAAAGCCACCCAATCTTACGGTATACTAAATTTAAATTCGTCAGCAGGTTTCAAATTTCGTTTAATATACTTTTAACTTGTGATTATGAAAAATTTGTAACCCCTTTATTTTGAGGAAAGTGGAAAGCACACAGTTAAAGCTTTGTCAAACTAAAAGATTATTAAATGAAAAATCTCTAGATGAATTTGAGTTTAGTATAATAAAGTATATCAAAGTATTTAGTAAACTCATTACCATCACATTCCCAGGCTCCAATCACTGCAAATTTTTACAAACATTCTTATTTGACATAAACACGAACATACTTAAATTTAAAGTTTTTACAATACCTTAAAGTGTCATTACTAAAACATTAAATCCTGCATTTGCTACTGCTTAAGTAGGCTTTTGTCATAACTCATAGTTTATTAAACTGAATGAAACAATTGCATAACTAAATGATTTAAGTGCAATTTGCTTAATTATTACTTGCAAAGCATTAAACTCATGTTTAACAGTACTGAAAATTATTATTGTATATTTTTATTTGAATTTAATATTTAAATTAGTATTATTGAATATTATTAGTAAATATTAAAATAGTGAACTGGGTTAGCAAGATTAACAATTGTTATATAAATTTGATTGACATTATTATTGAAACTGTTAAATTGTGAACTGGGCTTACAGAGCTGAACCCTAATATTATAATTAATGCTGAGATGTAGAAACAAAACTGAAAATTTCTTAATATTTAAACTTTGTATTGTGGCATGTTTTATTTTATAGACCTTTGGGACAAGAAATTCAGGTTAGACATTATTTTTACTTTTATTTTAAATATTCTCAATTCTTTTTAGACAGTATTTTTTTATTCATACCAAAATTTAGTTTTCATAAATTGTATGCAACGTCAATAAAAGCTCGCTTCTTTTTAGGCGAGGGAACAACTGTCCAACAACAAGAAGAGCAGTTTCTATCAAGAGCTTTTTTATGGATGGCCCTCTTATTTTTAGTTTGGCTATTCTTGGCTTAAGCGTGTTAAATAACCAACAATTAAAATGAACTTTATTATTATTATTATTTTTTATATTTTGTTATTATTAAAAATTGTATTTTATCGAAATGTAATTCGAAATCTAAAAAATCAAAAACTGTTTCATAGAAATTTGAAACATAATTTGTTTTTATTTTATAACTTTAAGCATGTTTTTCTAGTAATTAAAAACATAAAATATGTATTTTTATTATTAACAACTTCAGATATGTTTATAACTGTCAAGTTATATTTTTTTAGTAATCTTAAAGGTCTTATAAATACATACCGAATATGTTCATTTTATAGTCATTTGTATATATTAGGGTGACAATTTTATTTAATTACTAATTGTTTTAATTACAACATAAAAACATTTTCCTAATATTTTAATATATATTTATTAAAAATGGCTAAATTCTTTCTGAGAAATATTTATAGATATTAAATTGCGATGTTGTCTGACTACTAATAGGATATTTTGTTCTTTATTTTGAGATGAGCCAACAAATTGCTGGATTATTCCGATATTTCTTTCCGCTCAACGATTTGTAACACTTAAGTTTTTGATTAAAAAAAACCAAGTTATTGTAAGGTTCAAGATCTTAGGCTTCCTTTAGTATAAATGGTATAAAACCAAACCTTAATTCCACTAAATCCATTTAAAAGTAAACCAACTTTTCTTCTGTTATCAAATCTTTCAATTGAGTGTCATCATTATTAACAATAAACGTTAATTTTTCAATGTTTATAAGTTTTATTTCCTGCACTTTATGCTGAAGTAAAGTTTTTAAAATGAATGATTTAGCTTGGAAATCAAGATGTGAATCAGCTAAAACCATAACAACTGTTTTGGGAAACAAGTACCAAGAATGAGCTAACACACTCTTTAACGGTGTATTACCTGCCATAAGTTTTATTCTTTTTGTATAACTTATGCATAATTGAAAAATTCTAACGTCTTTTGAAACTACTCTCTAATTTTAAACTCTAATTCTAAATGTTTGAAACAGAATGCTTAGCAAGACTAGACTTCAAAAGCATGGGTGTTTGCAAAATTCAGATTATAAAATAAATATTGGAAATATTTTCTTTTTGTTGTTTATGTAGGTAATTATTTACTGGTTATGAACTTTCAAGAACTCGGTGATATGGAATTTGCCATAAAATAAGCTACATGACTGGCACCGCGCTGATTAATTTTAAAATCTTTTAACTCATCAGAGTTAATGCTAAAATAAAAACCAAGATATTCTACAAGAATATTTCCATATCTTCTTCAAGTTGGATTAGAGTTTCTTAGTTGAGCCTTACTTTTAATCCTAGTTTAATCCTTACTTTTAATCCTAGTTTAAGCTGTGTAGACATGTTTAATATGCTGCATATAAATATGATGTCTACACATTAAGCAAAGCAGTGATTATTTTTACGTTTTTGTTAAAATCATAATTGCTTCATCCAATCTCTCTGTATTAGTGGTATAGCAGTAGTGCCAGCAGGTCCGGTGTCAGTACAAACTGCAAAAACTTAATCGAGGACTTCAAAACATTCCAACAATTATTGTATAACTAAAACCTGATCAAGTGCTTTCCCACTGATATTTTGTACAACTCATTAAGAAAGATCATCTTACGCCCAAATACTTACTGCATCATAATAAATCAAAACTACCTCTACCAAATAGTATATATATATATATATATATATATATATATATATATATATATATATATATATATATATATATATATATATATATATATATATATATATATAAACATATATATGAAGGGCGCAAGGGAAGAGCAGGGCATGTTTTTAGCAAACTGAGATGAATCAAGTTTCAAAGACTTGCGTTACTTTTTTATTTTGCAAGAAACAGTCTTTCCAAGATTTATTTTCTTAAATTAACCTTCGAATGAAAGAAAAAATGATCTAATTTCAACTTTTTGCAAAAACTGTTGGTTTGATTGTAGAGTTTTTCAACCTTCATCTAAAATTGACGTTCCCGGTTTTTGAGTTGCAAAACATATTTTTTTACTAAGGTTGGCTTTTAGCAATTTAATCTGTAGTTTCTTTTCACAAACCACAACTAATTTTATCCCAGCAGCCATTTGGTTTCAAAAAACTGTTTTTAAATATCTTTTGTACGTGGTGATTAATCGCCTCTTTGATATGGAAGATAGTCGCAAAATTGTTGTGCGACTTGCTTGCAAAAATATTTGAGATGCTGTAGGTCTTTTTACTTCGATGAGGAAAGAGGTATAAGCACTCTTTTTGAAGGCTAAAGGGGCTCTTATGACATTTTCCTTTTTTTAACTGATTTTCTCACAATAGCATCAAAGAATTGCCTGTTCTAGCTCTCTCTAAAAAGTATTTTAAATGGATGGTTTTTAGAAAATATAACGTCTCGAAGTGTCTGGGTTTTAATTAGGGAAGTGGTAACAAAGAAAAGTTTAATGTGTTTTTCTATATTTAACAACGTGATGTTTTCTACTAAAATTACGTGAAAAGGAGAAGGGTTTTTTCTGGCTTTCTCAAAGTACCTTTATATAGACTTATCAGCCAGCTGGGCTGATAAATCTATATGAAGGTACTTTGAGAAATATAAATATTAATATTGAAAATATATAAACAATCTTTTCCAATCCTCTGATTGGAAAAGATAGGTTAATATTTTCAAATCTGTGTTTCTGATGGACCATGTCGTTCAAAAGCCGTTACATAGTTTATTTTTTATTCTTTTCATGAGTTGAATCACAGAAAAGTTAAAGGTGAGTGACTTCTAAAGGCCATAGTAAAGTAATACAGCAATATTGATGCTATATCGTTAGAAACTTTTTTCCCAACTGTCTCATTATAGGAAAAAAGGAAAATTTTATTAGTTTCAAAGTTATATATGTTAAAAGTGTACAAAGAAAATTTTCCTTTGTAATATGTGTTATTGGTTGTAATATTAGGGCAAGGAAGATTCTTTCAAAAATTAAACGCAACTGCAGCAAACCAGGTTAATGAGTGGGCTCTATGTATAGAAACAGTCTTTCTTTCATAAAATATTTGTCCTTTCTTCTACTGAAGTTCTCGTTTAACTGAAAGTTTTTGTAGTTCTTTTTCAGATTAACTTTTTAATAACTCTATTTTAAATTTATCCATGTTGAATATAAGTCTTTCCATATGTACCTAAGGCAATGTTAAATTTTTTAGTAAAGATTCGCCTATTTAAAAAAAGAAAGAATACTAGTAAATCTTTATATTAAAGTTAAAAAAAATTGCTTAAAATACATAACATTTATATTTGAAAAAATCACCCAGAATAACAAACTATTTTAAAAATTTAAAATAAAATAAAAACATTTTAATGCTATAATAGATTGATTATTTACTTTTTTATATTCTGAAAGTGCTTGAAAGTTTCATTTCTTTCCTGTTATCTTGTTTTTTGGTAGTTACTTGACGTTTTTTTGAGAATTTTTTTATTCGGGATGCATGTCTACCATGCTTTTTTACCTTATTTTTGCTAATCAAAACAACAAAATTTGTGACATTCCCGGTTTTATGGTCGCAACATTAAAACATTCCCTGTTTTTACAAAGCAGGTGTATTCTCTCATCACTAAATTAGATCATTGATTTTTATTTTTGTATTTTGTTGCATTTATTATTTTAATTGTTAAATATTAGTAATATTAGAAAGTAGTAATATTAGAAAATAGTAAATTTCATGTAAAAAGCAGACGATCATTCCAGTCATTCTTCAGTCTTTCTTTAAGTTATAATCAGTATTACCTAATAATGATATATGAAGAGATTTAAAGTTTTAGCTCTCAAACCTAAAGAGTTGAAATGTTAAAGAATTTTGAAATTCATCCTAAAACGACCTCTTTTTGACCAAGTCCGCCATTATTGGCTTTTTAGTTGTATTTTCCAATAAATTATTTAAAGTCATGTAGATAAAAATAGATAAAATTTGCTACCCAACCCGTTTTTGAGGGTGTTGAATTCAAAAATAGAAAAAAATAACACAATTTAAATTTTTTTATAGTTATTTTTCAATTTTAAAATAGTCAGCCAAACTTTCTATGTTAACATGTGTTGCGTTTTCTTATGCCTATGTCTCATGAATTCAATTTTTTTTTTCAAATGAAATGTTAAAAGGAGTTGTTAGTCTATCACAATAAAAATGATGGCTTTGTTGTTTGAAAAAACTTTTTTTTTTGGGCTCACGTTTTCAAATACAGACTTTATCGCAATACTTTTCTTAAAAATATTTAGGTTCCAGTGGCGGAGTATGACTGAAAGTTGTTACAAAAAAATTTGATTTCGAAATACCGCTGGTAAAATTTTTTGTTTTGTTACCATGGTTTACGCTTTACTCATTTCTAGAGTTGCCTGTCTCTCATTGTGAAATAAAAGGTCTTACAAAAGTTTAGATTACTAAAAGAAAAAAAGTTATCAAATTTCATATTTATATTCAATAACTTTGAAAGTTTTTATATGGAAATATAACAGTTACAATTATAGCAATTTACATTACAATACATTATAAATATAATTTCTTTATTTATTATTTATAATAGTTTAACCAACATATTTTAATTAAGTATTGTTTAAAAATATTATACAAATTATAGGTTCCATTCTCAAATGTTGTGTTAAAAAATGAGAAACCATAATGCACATTTTTTTGTAAGAGTAAAACATCTGCTTTATTAAAAAAAAAAAAAAACTCAAAAAAAAAAGTAAATATTACAAAAATTGAAGTTTATACCATTTAAACAATATTTTGTTTAAATAATGAAAGTAAAATATTAGTAAACTTTTATTGACCAGATAAAAGCTGTTAACAAATAGAACGCATAAAATTTGGACCAGAAAGGATGCACCATTTAGGGTGAAGATTGCAACTTATATGCTGGGTAGAGCTCTTTTAGATTACATAAAATCAATTTTTCAGACGTGTTTTTGTCTAATACTAGCATAATCTTTTTTACTTGATATTTGCCTTAGATAACTATCATCGCAACTTTAATAGCTTCACAAGCTCTATAACATCTTTGTTGGTTTAATGTCTCTCAACTATTTCTGAGTATGCTTTAATGTCTTTTTTGCTCGTATAGCCACGTTTTATGGTAACGAAACAAAATACTTGACATTTTTATTATCAAATGTTTTAAATTGAGTTTTTTTCTTTTTATCTTTGGATTCAGCACCTTCAAAAATGGTATGATACCAATTTTCAATCAGCTTCTTTCATTAGAACTTAAATTATTCACTCAAAAAGTATTGCTAGAAAATTTCCAAT